TCCCTGGCTGGCCAGGAATCGAACCAGCGCTGCAGAGGTTGTGGACAGCTTCACATCGCTGTGTTCAACCCGCTGTGCCACAGGGGAGGCCCCGGCATTCTCCCTTCTATAGTAAGTTTTAACCATGGAAGATTCTGAGGCTTCCAGCCACTGCTCAGTGATGGGCAGAATCGAAAGTCACAGATGCTGCCCTCAGCAGCTCACGCCAGAGCTGAAGCTTGGGACTGGGCCCCCCAGGCTTCAGAGAACTGGACATTTTGTGTATTTTAGGAAAACATTGAGTCTGTAAGAAGGTATTAAGCCTTGAAGTCTGTTTTCCCTTCTTCATTTACTCATATTCATCTACCAAGCACTTGATTTGTCCTAGGTTCCGCACTGGGGGCTTGGGAGACATCAGCAAATAAAACAAAGGTCCCTTTCTTTTTGACTGGGGTCTCTCACAATAAACAATAGCATAGTGTTTAATAACACAAGTATAGGGCCTCCCCAGTGGCGCAGCGGTTGAGCGCTGGGTTGCGAAGCCGCCCGCAGCCTCTGCAGCGCCAGTTTGATCCTCGGCCACCGGTGAGGGACCTACATGGCGCGCAGACCTCTCCTGCCGCCCGCTGCTCCCCTCAGCAGTGTACCTCGTCAGTCTGCCTGCTCTGCTCTCCCCTCTGGCTCTGGTGAATTCTCTCATTCTCCCGTGCTTCTAACTGTACCCAGTGCTTGTTTAAATAAATAAATAAAATAAATCTTTGAAAAAAGAAAAAATACAATACAAGTATATAGTATACTACACAGAAGGGGTGGACTGCTGATGAAAAGTAATGCAGTGTAAGGGAGATCAGTAGGGCCTGGAGATGGGATGGAATAGGTTATGGATTCAAATAGCGCAGTCAGGGTAACCTCATTGGAAAGGAGAGATTTTATCAAAGTCTTGAAGGAGTTGGAGAATTGGCCAATGGACATCTGGGGGAGAGAAATTCCAGGCAGAGAAACTAGCAGACTCTACCTCTAAGGCAGAGGTAGGCTTGGTCTGTCCAAGGAACCGAATGCAGCAGGGTGAGTGAGACGGGAGGAAGTAGGAGACAAAATCGGAAGGTTTGTGGGGCCAGATGGCCTGTAAGCTATTATGGGGACTTTGCTTTTCACTCTGATGGAATGGACACTTGTGCGGAGTTGAGCAGAGATGTCTCCTAATTCGACTTAAATTTTCGAAAGGACCTCTGCCTCTAGTGTGTTGAAAGTAAGTGCTGGGCAAGTCAAGGGCAGGATCCCAGGGCCCGGGTGGGAAGTTGTTGCTGTAGCCCAGGTGAGAGTTGATAGGGCCTCAGACCAGGATAGTAGCAGTGGAGGTGGTGAGACAAAGCTGGAGATGGGGCCTCCCCAGTGGCGCAGCAGGTTGAGCTCCAAGCTATAAAGCAGTCCACAGCCTCTGCAGCCCCGGGTTCGATTCCCGGCTGGCCAGGGAGAAACATGGCGGGGCAGACCTCTCCTGCCTCGCCCGCTGCTCCCGCAAGCTGTGTCTTTAGTCTGTCTGCCTGTTCTGCTCCCTGCTGTCTCTGGTGAATTCTCTCACCCTCCCGTGCCTCTGACTGTACCCCAGTACTTGTATAAATAAAAATAAATCTTGAAAACAAACAAAGCTGGAGATGATGGTCAGGATCTGTTGATACATTATGCATTGTCTTAGTCATTTTTTATTTTATTATAAGACTGTCAACTTTATTGAAAGAAAGTTTTCAGATGAGTTAGCATATGATCAGATTTATTTTGCTAAGATCCTGGTCTGTGGCAAAGACTGATTTCAACTCCTACTGAAAAACGTGACCAAACTTTTGTAATTTAGAACATAAGACAGTCTGCTTAATATATTTATAGGAAAATAGTTTTGTATATTTTTTTAATAAAAGGGCTTTCTCTGTCTGTTAAGCTCTTGTTGAGAGTGGCTTAAACGCCCATTCTATGCATCGAAGGAAGAGCGATGTTCCCAAAGTTTCTTCATGTTCTGCACTGATTATCTCGATGTCAAAACACACCCCTCTTTGTGCACCTGATTCACATGTGAAATTCAGTTACCCCCTCAAACCACAAAAACTGAGTCATATAGCGTGTTATGTTTAGCAAGCTTATTAAAGTGTTAGCTTATTTATAGAGATGGAGGCATTTACCTTTGAGTAATGCAGATGGATTAAAACTATATGCTGTATTTCATTAAGTGTAAGATAGGCAGCTTTCCCCATTTTACTATCTCTGAAATAAAAATGAGTCTTAGCATCGAAGGCATGTCAGAGTTTAGCTGGCAGTGTCTTTCTTTCTTAGTGGTCCATGGTGCGCAAAGTTTCAAAGTAAATTAGTACTGTACATTTTACCATCAAGAGCATCTTAGTGTCAATGAAGAAGGGAATTCAGCTTCACTTTTTAGTTGTTTCTATTACTTGAGCGTCACCTTCTTGCCATAGTGCCTGATCCAGTTCTGGTGCCTGTGTCACATTTCTTCAGCCAACTTCTGATTTTGGCAGTAACTGCAGTGGACAGTTCCATGCCAGCCCATGCTTCTTTCTTTCTTTCTTTTTTTTTTTTTTTAAGATTTATTTATTTATGTATACAAGAACTGGGGTACAGGCCAGAGGTGTGGGGGTGAGAGGATTTACCAAAGACAGAATGGGGAACAGAACAGGTAGATCTACTGAAATACACTGCTGAGGGGAGTAGCAGGTGAGACAGGAGAGGTCTGCTCCGCTGTGTGGGTAGCTCCCTGGCTGGGGATCAAACTCACGTTGTAGTGGCTGTGGATTGCTTCATAGTGCTGTGACTTAACCCCTTGTGCAACCAGGGAGGCCCCCGTACTTTCCTTAAGTTCTGTTACTGTGTTATGTATTTCAGTGCTCCATCCTTATGAGTGTTATTTCTTCTTGTATTATGCCCTTAATCACAATGTCTTTCTCTATTTCTTATTACCTCTCCTAATTGGAAGTCTACTTTATCAGATATAAATATAGCTGCTCCTGATTTTTTTGGGGGGTGAGACTTGCTTGTATAACTGTCTTGCAACCTTTAACTTATAGTCTTTGCTGGTAAGATGGGTTTCTTTTAACAACAGAGGGCTGGAGTTTGTTTTGAAATCCATTCTATCAACTGGTGAATTCAGGCCATTTATATATAAGGTGATTATTGAGACATACATGCTCATTGCCATTTTTAGTGTTTTTAATTGTTTTTTGTTTTGCCTTGTCTGTTATTTTTTAAGGGTTCCCTGGTATGGTTTAAGTTCCATTTCCATTGTTTAATGTGCAACTTCTGTTACTTTTGTTTGAGGGTTCTACTGAGGTTCCGCTACTTGAGTCATCCTTTGGGAGGTCTGGGCTCTCCGTGTTCTAATGAGCTACATCGTTCCTGGCCTCCTCTTCCCCCAAATGAAGTGAAAGTGAATTAATTGTCTGTTGCCTCCATATTTGTTGTTCTGTTGCTTCATAATAACACCCCCTTTTTTCTCATGTGCATCTCGGTGTCGATAAAGTCTTTTAGTTTTTGCTTTTAAGTGAAGTTCCTTACTCTTCTGTCTATCTTGAATGTTAAACTTGCTGGGTAAAAGATTCTGAGTTGGAAATCTTTTTAAGTATTTGAACATCTTATATTTAAATTGTTTGTATTTGAAAGGTTGCTGACAGCCTAATTGGTGTTCCCATATAGGCGTCCCTTTTTTCTCTTAATGTTTTTAATATTCTGCCCTTGCTGTTAGTTTTCAACAGCAACATTATTATAATGTGTCTTCATGGGTGATCCCCCTCACCCCCATCATTTTGTTTGCAACTCTTTGGGCTTCTTGTATCACGATATTGGTTTGTTTCTCAGATTAAGATGATTTTCAGTAGTTGTTTCTTTAAATAAATTTTCTATGCCTTTCTCTTTCCTTTCTCCTTCTGGCATCCCTATGATATGGATGTTATTTCTCCTTAAGTTGTCCCAAAGGGCTCGAATACTGTTTTCATTTTAAAATTCTCTTTTCTTTACGTGGTTCTAATGGTGGGTTCACCAACATTTTTCAAGCTCATTAATTCTCTTCATTACCTCTGTTCATCTGCTTTTCAAGCCCTCAGCTATATTTTTTAAATCAGCTATAGTGTTTCTTAGTTCTATTATTTCAATTGTAGCCGCCTCACATTTGTTTTATCTTTATTCTATTGTTTTATGGCCTCTGTTGTTGTTTTGAGTTTTTTAGGTGAATCTGGGAGAACTGCCTTTTTTTATGGCGGATAATTATTACATTTATTCATAATTTGTGTTGCGTAACCAGCACCTCTCAGGGAACCTCCCTGAATCTACAACAACAGACCATGCAGGGGGATTCACTGGAATTGGGAGGTTGAGGACTTTCCTGGGATCCTTCTGCTGATAGGGAACAAAAAGAGGCTGTGAACATCACCATTTCTTAATTGAGGGCTTTCCCCTTTCTGTACTTCCTCCATGTTCTGTTAATCATGGTCGTCTTCTGGAACACGTCATGCTCCTCAAGTAGAGCAGCAAAGTTATTGCTAGTGAGGATCCAGACATAGAGAAAGGGAAACACAATGGAGAATACACCGAGAAGGTCAAAGGACATTTTCACCCGTTTGGGCAAAAAGATGCCACTGCAAATAATGATCGCTGACTTCAATGATACCAGGCTCTGACCTGAGCTGTGCTATCCTGGGAAGACTTGCCACCTTTCTCAAGCTTGGTCCACTCTCGAGAGCCCTGAATAGGATGGGTGTCAGTGTCAGCCAGCGCGCTGCTCCGGATGCCATCTCCCAGCTCTGCCCCTGGCCCACTGCCCGGACCCCCCCCCAGCCCCGCCCTGCCTGGGTGACGCCCTTGGGAAGAGAGAACCTCCGTCTTAATAATATCGAACTATTAGAATCTTCTCTATTTATTTTGATCATGTTCAATTTCCCTCAGCAATGTTTTGAAATTTTCAGTGTAAAAATTGTATTTTTTTGTTAAATGTATTCATTAAGCATGTTACCTTACAATACCATACTCAAACACTTAGGCCTTGTGAAAAATAGTAACTTAGGAAGTTAATGCAGTTTTACTCTTTGTTTATTTTTTTCCCCCTAAGGTTTATTTATTTATGCATATAAGAACTAGGGTACAGGCCAGCGGTGTGTGTGGGGGGGAGGGGGGCGTGTGTAAGAGGATTCACTAGAGACAGAGTGGGGAACAGAACAGGAAGATTAACTGGCGAGTCAGGAGAGGTCTGCTTGCACCGTGTGGGTAGCTCCCTGGCCGGGGATCAAACTGGTGCTCCAGTGGCTGTCGATAGCTTCATAGGTTGCATCTTAACCCCTTGCACCACCAGGGAGGCCCAATGCAGTTTTACTTTTGGACTTGAACACTGAACATTACAGATTTATCTACATGGGCACCATTTTTTTTCAAAATGAGTTTGAAACAATCATTTTCTTGTTGACAAGCTAGAAAGTATCCTTCGTACAATGAAGACTCAAATTGTATCTTATCATGATGTCCTGGAACACTCCTCTGAAAGAATATCATGTCACTTTTTTCATCAGGAATATCTTGAGGAGGACTCATTTCCTATATAGAAAAAAAATTAGTTAATTTTTTAAAGGACACAAGCAAATTGAATATGTGCAGTTTATTTTGAAGTATATTATTGTACAGAACTAAAGAACTTTTTATTTTCAAGAGTTAAGGACAAAAATCTCTTACTATAAGAATATTGATCTCTCCCTCTTAATTCCTGATGGCCTTTTTTCTCTCCACACTGACTTTTTCACTATGCACTGTACATTCAGGTGTATGCCTCTAGTTTCCCCCCATTTATCTTTCTCTCCTCTCCTACTGAGTTAGTCTGTATCTGCTAAGGATGAAGTAGATTTACAGAAAAGACCCCAGTCTCTTAGGGTTAATGTTTGTTCCTGTCTTCTCCAGCCATTCACAGCTAAAGACATCGACGACTTCCCCCTCATAGGAAGTGGCAGGAATGTCAGCGCCTTCCTTCAGTGGAGTCTAGAACTGAAACGAGCTGTAATATGCTTAGTATTTGTCCTATGGCTAGAATCTGGGTTCTTGGATTGTCCTGCTATATTGGCTTACTCAGTAGCCCACGACTGTTTCCCTGACAAATACTCCATTTTCATAGCAGTAGCAGGAGCACAATAGTTACAGATAAAATATTATAATCATAATTTACAAAGTCGAGGGTTTCAAGAATGATTGGCTTCCTTCTGTGTAGCAGGACTTGTGCAATGCTGAACCATGGTAGTTCACATATGTGTTCTATATTATTTATCTACAGGTTGATTCGTCAGAATACCCAGTTGTTCCTCTTTCTCCCTAGAGCTGAGTCAGGAAAACCATGATGCTGCTATAGTAGGTTAAAGAGTTTGACAATTTTTGGAAACTATTCATTTCAGTGGTTCTCTTTTTCGCTATTCATGCTCTAGACAAAAGGTTGAGCTGGGAATATTTGGTTTTTCTAATTTTGCAGATAAACCACGGCTCAGTCTTACCTTAAAGGTAGCTGCTTTGTTCTCACAGGAGAGAGTAAACATTTTCTTACACCTCACAGAGATGGTTGTTGCCATACCTCTAGTGAAGCTGTCTTTATATAAACACAATATAAACGTGATCTGGGCTTTATTTTCTGAAATAAACATTCGTAAGTAAGAACATTAGTTAAAAGATTTTTTTGCAAATTAATTATTATGGAAATTACCAGAGGGATAGTCTTTAGTGGGTCCATCACCACTCCTCCTCACTACACACACACACACACACACACACACACACACACACACACACACACACGGAGATTTTGCTAGTCAGCAGGAGACCACACACACCAGGTTATGCATTCTTTAAAACACATTAAAATGTGTATTACAACACAAGTGCAGCCACTTTTTGAGTATTTTAGAGATACTCAAAATTCTAAAAGATTGCCATTAACTTTTTTTTTAAGATTGATTTATTTATGCATACAAGAACTTGGGTACAGGCCAGAGGTGCGGGAGGTGAGAGGATTCACCAGAGACAGAGTGGGGAGCAGAACAGGCAGACTGACTGAAATACACTGCTGAGGGGAACAGTGGGCAAGACAGGAGAGGTCTGTTGCACCATGTGGGTCACCTTCCTGGCTGGCCGGGGATCGAACTGGTGCTGCAAGCTGCAGGCTTGCAGATAGCTTCATAGTGCTGAGCTTACCCCTTGTACCACCACACACACATGGTGGGAGGGAGGGAAGGAGAGAGACAAAGAGAGGGATAGGGAAGGAAGACGGAGAGAAATACCTGGAAGGTCAGAATCAGGCATGTCTTCAAACACAGCTTCACATCCGTTGCCAAAGAAGAGAACATGGTTGTTCAGATTTCGTATGACTGAGACTCTAGATTCAAGCTTGCTGAAGTAATCTGATTCCAGGTTTTCTACAGTGCACATTAAATAATTTTTTTCCAAATTCACAAATAGGAATAGTATATGTTTCAATTTTCAAAAACTATTAATCACTATCCCCTCTTCTAGTGGCACACCCTGTATCTTGTTATTACTCAGAACACTACCTCTGAAATCTTACATTGAAATATACTACTTTCTGACTATAATTTCCATGGTTTTAGTTTTCTTATGCTTTTACTCCATTTCATAGAGTCCTCCAGTCTCCTCATTCTTGCATTTCCTCCCCACCTGAATTCTTCTTGTTCTGTTCCTTCTCCATACAGCTTGGACCTCATGGTTTATCATTGTGTTGACCCTTTTGTCATATCTTGAATCTCTAAATCACTTTCTTTCCAAATCAGGCTGCTGAGTTCTGCTGATATAAACAATTATAGAAATGTGCAAATTGATGTTACTACAAACACATCAATTGTCCAAACTTATTTCCTTTCACTCTCTTCCATAGTCTATATCTCCTCCATCCGTTGGATCCCATCTCTGTAGCCAGCCTTGTCTCGCTCCTCTGTTTAATAGTCAAGCTTATGGCATCATTTCCTTACTTTCTATTCACTCTTCTACTCATTGCCTCTATGTCCATTTCTCCACCAAATTACTTTCACTGAGTTCACTGAACTGCTGGTTGCTAATTGTCATAGACATTTTCAAGCCCTTGATTTTCAAGGCTACAAAATTCAACAGTACCTATTCCCTCCATCTTGAAATGCTCTTCGGGGATTGTGTGACCTTTTTTTGGTTCTTCTTTTCCTCTTAGGTTATTCTGTTTTGTTCTTTATCAGCTTCTCTTTCTACTGCATTTTTAAATGTAGATATTCCTCATAGGTCAGTCTTTGGCTTTTACCTTCTCACACTGCACACTTTCTCTAATTTTCTCTTTATTTCTACAGCTTCTGATGCCATTTCTATGTACAAGCCTCCTACATCCATATCTGCAGCCCAGATTTTTATCCTGAGCTCAGAATCATATGTGCAAGTGTCTTCTGGACATTTCTATTAGGATAAAATCCAAAACTAAATTTATCATATATCTTCATCTTTGTCCTGTATCTCTTTACTCTGTTATTCTTCTTGTGTTTCCCATTTCATGTAGGCAATGAAACTGCCTATGTGGAAAAAAACACAACAAAACACTACATATTTCTTTCTATCCCCCTTCTAAATCCACCCCCCGGCCATATCCTGTTGATTCTTCTAAGTATTTCTAAAACCCCTTCACAGCTTTTCATCAGCACCTCACTGTGTCTACTTTAATAATTCATGTTATCATGGTGACTACAATCGTAGACTAGTAATTGCATTTCCCCCTTTTTGTTCCCACATCAGTTCTTTATACTGAAGCCAGAGGAATCAAAATTCAATTTTAGTTAAAACTGAAATTCAGATACCATCATGTTGCTTCTGAATTTTAATGAGGCACATGGTCACACGGAATAAAGATTATATTTTACAGATTTTCTTGCAGTTGGTATGGTCATATGACTAGAATTGATGTGTGCACCTTCTAAGAACTTTTAAAGGGAACAGGCCTGTCTTTCTCTCATTTTGAATTCTTTCTTGATAGCTAGGATATGGACCCAGGAAGTGTGATGAGGACATCTGAGTGTGAGAATGAGTTCCACAGCTAGGGAAAGATGGAGTAACAAGATATTGGGAACATGAGATCCCAACATCATCAGACTGCATCAACTAATTCTGAACTGCCTTCTTGGACTTTTGTTTGAAAGAAATATTTACTACTATATATATAAAGTAGTAAATATTTCTTTATATATATATAAATGTACTAATATATATAAATGTACTACTATATCTGTATATTAGTAACTATATTTTTAGATTTCTGTGTTACAGCAAACTAATCTGTATCCTAGATTATACACATTGCATTTAATGAATCACTATTACCCCAAAGATAAGGTTCAAATTCCATATCTTGGAATAAGAAAACCTTCTTAAGCTATATTCTATTTACTTATCATTCTACTCTCACTGTTCTCCTATTCCCACTCTACTCCCCGTCTGCCATGTTTTCTTTCATATCTTGGTCTTTGGATGTGATCTCTCTGTTCAGAATACCTTCTCTTGGCTAACTCCTATTTACTCTTCAAATCTGTTCCTTCTTCAAAGTTCCTCCCCATAATCTACTGGGCTAAGTACTTAATGCCAATTTTTACTGAGTTAAATATATGGAGAGTAGAGCAATCTTTCAAGAAACATGGAGTGGTAAGTCAATTATATCTCAATAAAGCTGGGAGTGGAGGAAGAAACCTGAAGGGACATTGCTTTTTTTTTTTTTTTTTTTTTTTAAAGTTGCTGTTTTCTATTTCTAGTCCAGTTAGGATCACCTTGAGAATGAGGAAGATGCTGATTTTTAAGGAAAATTGTGAGAAACTGATGACTGAATAATCTGAGGGTCTGTTAGATGAACACAGATTAGATATGCGTATGATTCTCCCTGATGCCAGAAGGACAAGTTCTCATAAGAAGAATGATTCAGTTCGGCTTGCTCCTTCCCTATCTCTCTACTTTCAGAATTCTCTGACTCCTGGGAGCTTCCCAGGCTTCTCTATGATGCATTTCTGAGAGAGGGGATTGCAGAAGGGAGATATTCTTAATTTTGGACAATTTTCCTGCTTCAACCCCTTTTTCACATATAAGTGAGAAAATCCATGATATCCTGCTAAACTTAGGATCTCTATAACAGGAGAGGCCTATTTTACATATTCTAAGAACTGGGGAATTTTCTAAGGTATAGAGCTTCATATTTTGTTAGAGATTCTTCTTTATATCTCTTTATGGCCATCTTTATCCCAAGGCTGTGCTACTGAGTCCACATGCTTTTGAAGGAAGAAAAACTTCTCAAGAAGATTGGCAACCATTTCTCTCAGCTGACAATGGTGATATGGATGTATCTGTGGGGTGCTTACTCAAGTAGCTATTTATTTTGCAAAGAATGAGAAATAAATTTATACTTTACCATCATTTTCAGCTAAAGGGGAAAAAAGAGAGAGAAATAATGTTAAGTTCTATATTTAAACTCACAATCTCAGCTCACCTTAGCTTTTCATTACTCGTTCCTGCCACTTTTCGGTCTTTAACTCCTGTCTTATCTGTGATGGCCTTTGTCGGCCTCTATCAGAAATATTATATCATCATCCAAAAGGTCTCATAAAATGTTCATTAGATTTAGTACGGGAAATTAAATATAAACCCAAATCCGGCATTTGTAAATTAAATTTGTAGCTAAAAATAAATTTTATAAAGTGATGGATTTTCCTCTGAAATTTACTGCTTTAAGGGAAAGTCACCTAACGTCTGTCTATGAAACTTTCAAAACAAGTCAAACTTTCTAGCTACCCACAGAAGATTAATCATAAGCATTTATTTTTATTTGTCAAATATATTTACATAAAATGGTATAACTCACTCACAGAACTCTAGATTTATAGTATCTTTTACATAATTGCCAAGTTACTTTGGGAAATTGTATTCCCTAAAAATACCCAGTTTTGTGGGGTCCCCATGACCCACCTGCATCTGCAGCCACTTGCTACTGCTAATAAAGGGCCATGACATGTTGTGGGACAAGATGCTGGGACTTTGAATATATTATGCCTAATTTCTAGAAGTCCAATAATTTTTTCCAGAGAAGAGTATCATTAGTACTACATTGAAATTTAGTGACAACAAGGAGTCACTTAATAGTTCATCTCACAATATTTTTCCTATTTGAATACATTTATCTGAACCCTGATTTTGGCCTATTGCCTTGCACTTACTTTCAAAATAAAGAGTATTGTTAATAAATTTCATTTTCACAAAATTGATGCAGTTGTCTTCTGGTGCTTCAGCAGCCATCTTTGTTCCTAGTGAAAGCAAAGAATCATGTGCTAAGTGGTTATGATTGTTCTTTTTGTGAAAAAGGAATCTTTTACTACTTGCTGCCTTGTGCTGTCTCCAAATTCAGAAGTCATTGTATCACCCCATAATTTGATGAAAACTCTGATGCTGGGAGTCTTGACCTTAAGAATATCCATTTACAAACATTCTCTTGTAAACCATTAGATATTTGAAATCTGGAAAGCATTTTCTTATTAAATGATATTATAAAGGGTGGATAAGGGTCCACTATTAAACTGGATTATTGTTTTTGTAATTATTTTGGCAAATATAAATATTTTATCAATATAATTAAAGGATACCAGAAACACACCTAATTTTATCCTTTAACTGAGACTGGCTCTATCTGTCTTACAACCAATGGATTTCTGTGTGTGAGAAGTTTAAAGTTTGTGGCTTCATTGTCAAAGTGCTAAAGGTGAGGCAGTGATAAAAAAATAGTGTTTCCTCCTAGGAGTGGGGGCAGGGTGGAGGAGGCTGAAAGGGCCCTGGCATCTGATGGCTGCCTTTCTCCCAGGGCAGCAGCAGTTTTTGACCTGGAGTCTAGACTGTACTATGATTTTTACAAAAGTCATAAATAAATACAATCATAAATACAAAAAGCCAAATATAATAGGTTTTGAAAATGTTAAAATCTTTTCATTTTGTTCTTCTCTGCTCTACCCTACTTTAATATGGTGTGTTCCCTTCCAGAGTTTTGTCTACGGAGCAAGATTTCTAAATCTGGGAAAACTGTGAACTTGGGTGGGAAAAGTATATATTTATTTTCACCAACTTCTTGAGGAAATTCAGCAGCTCTTCCATTATGATGTGGGAAGAAAACCACAGTAACTGTGACTAATGGAAATATCTATTTCCTGATGTGTGGTCATTGTTGCAGAGATCTTGAAATATGATTTAAACTTATTAGTTCTTTGAAATATATGCAAGCTATAGTATTACCAGTAGATCTTGTTATTTAATGTTAATAAAGAAACACATATATAGTATACTGAAATTTGTTAGAATGATTTTTTTCATAACCTTATTTTAATATAATGGGTTTCCTTTCTTCTTAAGTGTTTAGTTTTACACATAAAAATATAATTCTGAGAAGGCATCCATAGACTTCACCAGACTGTCCACAGTGGTCCATGCCATAGAGATAATTAAGAAGCCCTACTCTAGAATTTAAAAGTACCTGGAGTTTAAATTTTTTTTTTAAAGATTCATTTATATATTTATACAAGCACTGGGTACAGTCAGAAGCATGGGAGGGTGAGAGAATTCACCAGAGCCAGAGTGGGGAACAGAAGAGGCAGACTGACTAAATACACTGCTGAGGGGAGCAGCGGGTGAGGAGAGGTCTGCCGTGCCATGTGGGACCCTCGCCAGCGGCCAGGGATCGGGGATCGAACCGGCGCTGCAGAGGCTGAGGGCAGCTTCGCAGCCCAGCACTCAACCGCTGCACCACCAGGGGAGGCCCTGGAATTTAAATTTTTTCAAGCATAGTCTACTGAGAGGTCAAACAGATATGGTAGAGGAAGCAGGGAATTAAAATCTAATTGAAAAAACTTAATCCAAATTAAGCTAACCCAAAATATTTGTTAGTTGGCAGCTATTTAGCAGTTTTATATCTAGGTTCATTTCTTTACACATATTCAAGTGTGGATAGTTAGTAAATTTATGACGATATATGATCTGCATCAATTGGTAAAATAATGGCTATGGTAGTCTTGTCTATAACCTTTATTTTTATGTAATGCATACATATTTTTGAAATTACTTCACCTGAAAAGTACCTAGTAGTCAGAAAATTGGATATTCCTACTGTTCATCACAGTGAGTATTAGGTAGTCAATGAGTCAGCAGATTTAGAGAAGTACACAGTTACCTTAAAAAAATAGACAATCTTTGGTGAATCCTCTCACCCCCTGCAACCCACAACTTTGGCCTACACCCCAGTTCTTCTATGCATAAATAAATAAATCTTTAAAAAATGAACAATATTTGAATTTAATCATCCATTAATTATTCACTAAGTATCAGGTATGTAGCTAGACAGTTGACTAATCACACAGGAATGAGACTTAGCTCCTATCCACCAATTACTGAGAATCTAGTGGGAGAGGCAAATATATAAACAAGTACAAAATAGTATCTGAATGCTGTAAGAGCAGAATGTACAAGACGCACACTGTGTCTGGCAGAGTTGGAGAAGTTTCTTACAGGAAGTAGCAATTGTGCTGCTTTGATTGAGAGGAACACATTGTCAAGACTGGGGAGAGCATTCTACGAAGAAGGAGCAAAGTGAGTAAATGCCAGGAAGCAGGGAGGCCATGACTTTTTTGGAGCCTTATCATTTTTTGCCATAAGTAATATAAATGCAGCCACATTCTATAGGAAGAACGCACTTATAATCTAACATAATTCAAGATTCAATTTTCCTAGAGAATAAATATAAAATTATGTGAGGCGATATCCTTGGAGTACATAAATCTACAACCAAAATATATTTTTGCTTCCTTTTTTTCAACTTTCTCAACATTATTAGTAATGTTTTGCAAAGTGCTTTCCATATACCGCCTATCATGGTCATATTTTAACTTTTTTATTATTGTTTTCTTGCATCTAATTTTTCTCAAGTTATTTATTTGGAGATTTTTTGCAATACAAGCAGTGATAATATTCCTTAACATTGTTATCAGATATTAAAATACTTAAAATTATAATAGTAGTGAATGTTAAAAAAAAAAAAGCACAGCAACAGTCTGTATGTCTCAAGAAATTCTGAGATATTTATAGAAGAGCCCAGTTTACATAATACTTACCAGGCATAAGCGACACTTCTATGTGGCAATAGTGTTGCCAGCTCATAACTCACTTGGCTTACCCGTTTTGAAATTATGTCATTCTAGATGAACTATTTAATTTGGAGTTCACATATTTCATTTTGCTGATAAGTTGAGAACATTATTTTTATTCTGCCTATTTTATTTCACATAAAATGCAACTTGCACTAGAGTTCAGTTTGACAAAATCTTCTCAAAGATCCTGTTTAAACTAAAGAGTTTGAACTTCTTTTCTGAAAAAATACTGACATTTTAAGTAGGAGAAAGACATGGTCATATTTGTTTTAAAAAAGCTCTTTCTTGTAGAATATACAAAATGGATTTCATGGGGCAACACTGGACCGAGGCCAGAAAACAATTTTGGAAAATTTTGGAAGCAATTTTAACAGTTAACTTAAAAACCAAGGAGGAAAAAAAAAAAAAAAAAAAAAACCAAGGAGGCTTTGGACTGAAGTAGTGGCTTCAGTCACCACTGAAGGGGAGTTGATGCAGCTATTAACTGTCATGAAGGGGAGAGGATGGATTCCAGAGAGAATAAAAAGCAGGGTTTTTGAGCTAATTGGTTATGGGTTAAATGGAAGAAGGATCTACTGAGGATGATTTCAGTTTCTGACTTGGGCAGTTTGTTGAGTGATTACCTCACTAAGAACTATGTTATAAGTTATAACTTATAACTATGTTATGTTATAACTATGTTATAAGTAACTCCATTCACTAAGAAAATAGATAATGAAAGACAGGCAGGAGTGGAAAACAGTGCAGTTTTGCAAATGAAAGAAGTGTCAAGAAGTCAAGGTAGAAAGGAGTTTCAATGAGCGGCTACTTGAAATCAGAAGTTGCAGAGCCCACAGATTAGATACAGGCTTAAACTTGTTCACTGTTTTGGTAGTTGGGAAGGTATTTTTGTTTTTCCTTTGGCAATTGTGAAGTTTTGGCATGGTAAAAATTTGTGGAAAGTGGAGGTAGCAGAGGACAGGTTGACAAAGATCTAGGACAGAATGGGTGGTGGTAGGGGGCTACTGTAAGGACAGAATTCGAGGAAGTTTGGCTATAAAGTGAAGAGAGAAGGGTGGTAGCTCTTAGGGGAAAGGAACTTGCAAATTTCAACTTCTGGTTCCAAATCCACAGTTCCAGCTGTAAGAGACTTTAATCCTTCTCGACGTTTTATGTTTCCCCTGTCTCAAAATACTGTAGATTATATCAGAAATATCTCTAGAATTTGGTATCTTCTCTCCATCTCCAGCAGTGTAGTTTTAAATCAAGTCCTCATCACTTCTTTTTATTATTAATTTAAAATATATTTTTTACATCGTTCTTCTTTTTTGTACAATGTATGCTTTCTCATCTCAATTATAGTCCCCGTGAAATTCCCACCATCCATTCACCCGTGTACCATCACCATAGTCCCGTGTGCTCTTCCCACCCCTGCTTTGATCCAACTCCCTCCTCCACCCCGCAGAATGTCTCTGGTTTATAGTTGCTGGTTGATTTTGATTTTCACTTTATTATAATTACTTCCCCCCACCATCCCTTATTTGGATCCTCTACATTCCTTTTATAAGTGAAACCATCAGTATTTCTTTTTCTTTCTGGCTTATTTCACTGCTCATCACTTCTTGTATCTTCTTTGAATACTCTCCTGTTTGGTTTCCTTGCTTATTGACTCACCTCAACTCCACACTGTTGCCGCTTTTACCCTTGACAGGCCCAGACTTTCCCTGCATTTGCTTTTCCTGCCAACTCCTCCGTGATTCTTTAAGTCTCAGCTCCAATATATCTCCTGTAAGAAAACTTCCCTGACACCTCCATTTCTCGTCATTTTCTCCCCAGTGTCCTGGTCAGGCTACTGAAATAGCTCTTACAACACTGAATTAAGATGATTTTGATTACAAATAGGTTTGTCCCACTTCAGTGTGAGTTTCTTTTTTATTTTTTAAAGACTTCCACACCTGGCAAGAGGTCATATGCAGTAGGAGCTTATCCATGTTAAAGGAATAATTTTTGATATGATAAACACTGTTGCTACAACAGTGTGAAGAGCGACTGGTAGAATTTATTTTTTTGTTTTAAAATTTTCACTCCATCTGAAAGCTGGTGAGAAAGAGAAAGGAAATGAGGAAAATCTGAAAACAAATTAAAAAAATACAATAATTTCTTTGATGTTCTTCCCCTTATTTTTTTCTGGTAGTTTTTTATTTATTTTTATTTATTTTGAGTTTTTGTATATTTTTATTTATTTTGAGTTCTTGTTTTATCCCTCTATGATTATATTATATTATTTATATTATATTATTTATTTATTTAAGATTTATTTATTTATTTATACAAGCACTGGGTACAGTCAGAATCACAGGAGGGTGAGAGAATTCACCTGAGCCAGAGCAGGGAGCAGAACAGGCAGACTGACGAAATACACTGCTGAGGGGAGCAGCGGGTGGCAGGAGAGGTCTGTCGCGCCATGTGGGACCCTCACAGGTGGCCGGGGATCAACTGGCGCTGCAGAGGCTGCAGGCAGCTTTGCAACCCAGCACTCAACTGCTGTGCCACTGGGGAAGCCCTATATTTTTTATTTTATGTATTTTTTACCCTCGATGATTTTCTTTTACCCTCTGTGATTACAGCCATTGTTTCCCATTTTCCCTTTTCCTCCCAGTTTTCCTCTGTTTCTTTTTCATTTGTGCTCCTTTGCTTTTTCAACTCCAACCTATGAAACTTGCTCCACCTAGGAAGCCAGATAATTGATTTTTTAAAAAGGAGTTATGCAACCACCTGAAAAAGATCCTCCCAGAAGTATGTGGCGACAATTCATTTTTTGAAACAAAATAAAGTTTAGTTAAACTAGCCCTGGCAACTAATCAGAAGCTTGTGAATGGTAGAATATGGGCACAAGCAATTACAATCTCATCTGGGGCAAGTCACTTAATTCTGAGTCTCAGTTTCCTCATTTGGACAACGAGGAAGCTCCTTAAGGTCTTCTCCAGCTCCAGCATTCTGTAATTCAGTATTAAAGTTAAGGTTGTAAGGAAAAAACCATCCACACATGGTAAATGCCCTAGTGACCACTTCCTCATAATTCTACGATAACACATATTGATTGAATATTCAGTATGTAGCCAGGCTGTTAAGCTACTAGCTTAAAAAATACTGTTAGATTAAAAGTAAAAATGTCTTGAACTTGAAAAGCAACTATAATTATGTTTATCTTTGCTGTGGAATTCCAAGTCTGCAGAATGAAATAAGGCAGCATATTACCTAATTCCCTAAAATCAGGTAATCATCTTAAAAGCAACAGGATCAAAATCTAACTTTTCAGTTCTGTAAATCATTGTTTTTTTGTTCTTGAAAATTTTGCCATCTTATATATGTATGTATATGGATGTGGCAAAGGTGGGGGTGGAAGAGAACTTAAAATTGTTTAATCAACTGCTAACTATAGACTTTAAGCAAAAAATCCAAAAATGAGATGTAAGTGGTTGGAATGGCCTTATGTGAAAAGGAGAATTCAATTTAATCTTAAAAAACTCTTAAGATTTGAATAGACGAGAAGGTCAGAGAAGATCATTTATATGGTAATTAAAATAATTTTGTAGAATAATTTTGTGAATATAGTGGAAGAGTCCTGATGTCCTGCAGTGAACATTAGGTAAGGTGGGGTTAGATTATGGAAAGTTTTTGAAGTCACATAGAAGAGTTTAAATTTAATCTCACAAGGCAATAGAACACATTGTGGATATTCACTGTGGGTATTTTTAGAAGCTATGAAGCTACTATATTAAACTACTAAATTGAACTACTGTAAGAATATATATAGGAATTCATGTAAGAAGTCATATTATTCATGTAGGGATATTATGAAAAATCAGATTAAAAAAAGATATTTTGAAGAAAGATTTAATAGAATTTGAAATAGCTGGATAGCTATGTAAAATGAGGAGTTTAAGGGTGTCTTAATTTTGTTATTCATGCTTCTAGAGATATTTATTCAGTCCTTTCCTTATTGTGAGATAAAATTCTTGTGAACCTATAGTTTTGTGCAATTATAGCCCAACCTGAGGGTGCGGGTGCAGTTTCTATAAAGATTATCAATCTTTGGCAATTTTTTTGTTCACTTTTTAATTAGAGAGCCCCTTAAAAAGAAGCATATTTATCATTGCAAAGCAGCAAGACTTGACGGGTTCATGCGGTTCAAAGCTATTTTTATAATAATTTTAATAATTACAAATAATCATAAAATAGATAATTAGATACAATATGTCTAATAATTTTTATGTTTTTCACTCTCATTCTCTCACTAGTGTACAATAATTTACCACAGATTCCATTCTGGTGCAGAAGTTGATGAGACTGCAGCTGTCTTTTTAAGTCAGACATTAAAGAGATTTGTAAAAATCAAAACCAATGCACTGTTCACTGTAAATTTTTTGGGAATACATAGTTATCTTCAAGCAAATATATTATCTATGCCAATATGTGATGTGTTCACTCTTATTTTAAAATAAATAGATCATTATTTTAAAAAATTCTCATTTAAAATTTCTAATACAGTAAATGACAGTGATACAGTAAATAACCTAGAGAAACAAAAACTTCTCAGGGTCCTCAATCGTTTTTAAGAGCGTAAAAAAATCATGAGAACAAAAAGTTGAGAACATTTGCTCTGAAATGATAATCTCCAGTGTGGTTAAAAGAAAGAATCTCTACCCTGACTTTGCTGTGTTGCTTTTTAAATTTTTTGGTGGCTAAGTCCCTTTTGTTGTCACTGGCTGCCCATCATGGTGATGTCAGAAAGGACTTAAATTCCTCTCTGTCGCTTTTCTAGTTTATTTACCTCTAATGATCATGCCTGGGGTTCCAAATAGAGGGATGATCTTTCTTACCGTTCCGAGAGGAGGTGATCTGAAAGGTTTGAGGTGCCTTTGCTTTTCGTGATGCTGTACCGATCTGGAAGGTGGCAGCCCTTCAGCAGCCTGAGCAGGAATGCATTGGAGAACAGAACTCACCGCTTAAGTGTGACATCCTGAGAGGAAGCAAAGCCGGGGGCGGAGACTCCTGGCACGCTAGGGCCCGCCCGAAACATGGGCTCGCTCTCTCTCTCTCTCTTTTTTTTCAGGGCAGTAGAACTTGAAATAAAGTGTCAGGGAATACGAGCACATCTTTTAATGTCGAAATTACTGTTTTAATGAGATTAGATCTGTTAAAGTTGGAGTTCTAGCTCTTCAAAGCTATTACCTCTTTCAGAAGTTACCTCTAAGCGCTAGACTTTCTACTCACCTTTCAGCACAAAACTTTTTTCCCTGTATCGAACAATGCTAAATAACAATGCTAAATAATTAGCCCTAGTAGAGTAATGTCTGTAATGTAAGCAGAGCACCTAAAATGCCACTTGTAAAAAAAAGCAGAGTATAAATATCACAGCCTTGAAAATCATTAGCAAAAACAAAATTTCTTAAGAAAATTTTTTCTTAAACACGGTTTACATTCTATCACCTTGCTAGCAGGGGATTAGCAAGGCGACTTTTGTTTTTGTGTTTCCCTTTTTGCCACAGCAGATGGTTTGAAAACAGAGGTTTTAGAGGCAGGAAACAAAATGCTTGCTTTTGCTGCTATTTGGGTTATGGGTTTTATTTATAACAAGATAAGGATTTCATTTCATAAGGTCATGCAAACATCATGTCCACAGCACTGATTACAAAGATAGTCTGCGGCAGGATGTTTGGGAGGTTTGGTGATTTACCAGAAGAGGGAAAAATGGCACCTTAAAGAGATTTATGACAGGAATATACACATGAAGTAGCACGTTTTGGTTCTCCAACTATAATGCTCAATTGAGCCAATTATGAAAACATGGAGTCACATGGTGATCAGAAGCAGCATACCAAAAAAGTTAATTTTGAAAGGGTCATTTTCAATTATTTTTTTCTCTACGTGTAAAGATGTAGAATGCATAGTTCACCCACTTCTCAGCTTTGAAACGATTATTTTTCCTTGTCCTGTTCTTTTCTCCAGGTCCTGCCTACTTCATGGAGTTGTTCATGAAAGTTAGGGGTGATAATGACAGTTCTTTGAATATTTTAAAGCACTTTACAGCTATAATCTTCCATGCCCTCGCACTTATTTTTACTGGCCGAGTTTGTACAATGGAGATAAGATTTTAAAACGCAAACAAATATCCATGGCAGTCTCAATCTGATATATTAGGGAGATTCATTTTCATACAAATATTTAAAACACTAGATCATACCATGCTGGGAGAAGAATTAGAAAAATATTTCCCAGACTCTTGGATTTAATGGCTGTCAAAAAATGATGATGATGAAGAGATAAACACTAGGTGGCTAACTTTATATTTTAACAAGCAGGGATGATGATAATCTAAAACTGTATGTTTTTGTTTCATGAGATTTTAAACCAACAAGTCGGGAAGAAGACAATTTCACGACAAAACACAATCCATTAATGTGAATCCCCCGGCTTTCTGAAAAGCACATTAATTTTTCCACAGATAGAAGGAAAATTTCATCATAGATTGCTATCAGATCTCAGTGATTAGGTCCCTTGAAAGACAGTCAATTATTGTATCACAAGCACCTGGTTTTATTATGTGACTCATATTTCATAATATAGCAAATCAACTTAAACTAAGTACCGATTTTCTAGGAACTAATTTAAAAACAATTGAACATCTGCAACCAATAAACAAAAGCATACTTGTCTTTTGACAAATAAACTAAGGTGAAAAGAAATTAGTAATATATATCTACGTATTAAATATATTTGCTAAGGTGTAGGAGCGTGTACTTGAATTTATGGAGGGGTGTTATTGACCTTTGTTTTATGAGGTGATAGGCCTTTTTATCTTCCCCATCAGCTCATTGGGCATACCTTTAGAATGTCAATCTTTGAAATTGCAGGTCAAAGTCGCCAGATTAAAGCACTCAGCGACATTCAGCTCATGTATGTGAACATGAACGCTGCCCCGTAAGTCGTCTAAACATGATAATTTTCTAGGAGGGTATGATTCTGAAAGTTTGCATCAATGAAAAAGTGGTGAATTGGTAAGCACTGAATTTAGAAGTCCCGGTTCTGGGCAGGGAGACATGAGGTTTACACTTGTGCATTAAACAAACCATCTGGTCTCGGCTATAACCTTTATTCGTGGTAATGGGTGTGCTGTTTTGTGTTTCTTTACTGAGACGCCAGGTTCCAGGGACACACGCTGGTTTTGCCCTTAAAATTCTTCCTTTTCCTGGGCCTCCCTGGCGGCGCAACCTATGAAGCAATTCGCAGCCTCTGCAGCACGAGTTCGATCCCCGGCGGCCAGGGAGCTACCCCCATGGCGCAGCAGCCCTCTCCTGTCTCACCCCCTGAGGGGCCATAAATAAATCTTTAAAAAAAAAAAAAATTCTTCCCTTTCCTGTGAGATCAGTCTCTGAATTTCCTCTCCTTCCCCAAACACGGAAAGGCGGGGAAAGATTTTCCTCTCAAGGAGATTCCCAGTCAGGCAGGAGTGAGGAGACCCGTTTCTGGGTTGCGCGGGAAGATTCCGGGCGGGCTTCTGGAAGGCAGCAGGGAGCCATCACGTGGCTCGCGCGCTGCCTGCTGGGAACCGCCCTAGGCGCCTGCGCACCAGCGCGCGCCCCTATCTCCATCCCAGGCTGTCGCTGACGAACAAGCTCCCGTCGACGCCGAAGACCAGCTTGGTTTTGGGGCGGTGTTGGCGGTATGGACGCCCGCGAGAGTACCACTGGGGGCGGGAACTAGGGGGTGGGAGAGGATAGACGTCGCCCTCTGAGGGGCTGTAGTTGTGGGGGAGAAAAAGAGAGGGACATGGGGCGTGAGGAAAAAAAAAAAAGGCGGGCAGGTAAAATGGCCTGAGGGCCGAGGCGGAATTCAGAAAGAACAGACTAGAAGCCGAAGGCAGCTTGAGGCCCGGGCCGTGCCCACGCGGGGTCAACCGCGTGGCGTCGGCCGGCCGCGTCACCAGCGCCTTGGGGTGCCTCAGAGGCCGCGGGGGCTGCCGGGGCGACGCCCGCGTCGACTGACTGGGCCTCCCTGGCTTCGGCCGGGGCCCTCGGTCGTGACAGAGAATTTGTTTCCACAAGCTCAGTTAGCGAATTGTAGGCGCTTTTCTGTGGCTCACGTGCACGTTGGGTTCCTGTGAGGGGAGGAGAGGGGAGGAGATGTGGAGAAGGAAAAGGGAGGAGAAAACGTAGAACGTCGTAGTGACGATTTTTCTGGAATGTTCTTTCGTCCGCGCTCCACGGCGGGGCTGCTGGGCGCCCAGTGGACTCGGACTCAGCCGCCGTGGTCGCTGTTGGCGGCTGCTCTTTTTCTGATATTTGTGAGCGCAGCCAGGTAGCTGGGTCCGGTGCGGTTATCCAGGTTAGCGGGTTTTCTCAAAAAACAAAGGACGTGATAACGAGTATATAGATGGCGTTTCTCCTCTCGCCAATGTATAGCAATCCAGGATTCGGCGTTTTTCTTTAATTTTCAGACTCCCGGGGGAATACCTTCAGGATTTATTGGGAAGTAATTTAAAGGTAAAATTTGGTGCTATGAGAACAGTGAAACGAAGATTAGAAAGAGATGTTGGTGCTGGTCTGGCTCAGTTTTTTTTTTTTTTTTTTTTTTTTTAAAGAGTTAGTTATTTATGCATACAAGAACTGAGGTACAGGCCAGAGGTGTTGGGGGTAAGAGGGTTCACCGGAGTGGGGAGCAGAACAGGCAGACTGACCGAAATGCACTGCTGAGGGGAGCAGCGGGTGAGTCAGGAGAGGTCTGCTGCGCCATGTGGGTAGCTCCCTGGTGGGAGATCGAACTCGTGCTGCATTGGCTGCAGGTAGCTTCATAGTGCTGCGTCTTAACTCCTTGCGCCAGGAGGGAGGCCCCAGGTCTGGCTCAGTTTTACTTGTTTCTACTTGGTCATCCATCTCTTTTCCTATTTCACATTTCTGAAAATGAGATTGAGTTAGATGAACTTTAAGATCGACTTCATTAAGAATGAATCTGGAAACAAGACTTAAGCGCCTAAGATACTACTATAGACTATATAGAGACTGTATGAAGAGGAGTAGTTGAAAATTATGGAATGGTAGGTTAGTGATGTAGGGTTTGGGTGTGTGATATCATGGAATTTGATTTTATTCAGGAGCGATGACTATGCAAAGGAAGATTTTGAAATAAGGGAATACAGTAATTAGAGTATTGAAGGATTACCCAAACAACAGGATGTAGGGTAAATTAGGGGAGAAATTTAGTAGTTTAAATAAGTGACAGTTAATGGCAACCTAAATTAACAGTGCCGGTAGGAGTGGAAAGGAAGGGAAGAATTTAAGAAAACTGCATGGAATTTGCATCTAAATTTAACATTGCTCTGAATTTTGCAGCTCTTGCCTCCATAATATGTCAAATTACCTTGCAACGTCTGATGCTAGAAATTGCAAGAGACCAAGAGAACTGGAGGTAATCTGTATGCTCCTGCCTTAATCTTTTATTCTATTCTATTTTGATACGCTTATCAGATTTCTTCCATTTGAATAAACTTTTGATTAATGGAATTTAATGTTTTTATATTCCCAGGACTGGGAATGTCCCAGCAAGAATTACATTGCTTTCTAATACTTTTTACTAAGTGTAGGCCTTCAAGAAACTGTTGAGATCGCTTCGTGGTAATATGTGATCTAAAGCGGGTTCATGTTTTTGTAATAACTCTTAGAATAATTATCTTGCTATATATAACAAGTGCAATACCTAGGTAGTAAGGCTACTGTTTTTCTTTTCTTTTCTTTTTTTTTAAAGAAGAGCATTGACTATCCTTTTTTTTTCATTACTACTTCCACCAGTTGATCTGTTTGTGTTTGGGGCATTATTTGTTCTCTTATGGATTACATTATCTTACACAATTTTGCAAGCAGGTGGCTCTTGTTCAAAAATGAAAGTTTTGCTCTGTTGCTATGGGAACATCTAGTGGTTCAAGAGACAGGAAACTTTTTCATCAGACTATAAATACCGCATTCAAGTTCTAATTTAAAACCAAAATAAAAGTTAATATGTTTGACAAGGTGCTCGTGTGCCAAAAAAATTTCCTTGGTAATCACAAAATTTCTAATGACTGATTAGGACATTAGATGTCACCAGTTCATTCAAAATTGTTTTGTTATAAAACTAAGAGGAAAAAACCCAAGACAGCCCAGGCTGCATGGATATTACTCAAGGACCTGCTTTCCCTGTACCTCATTTTACTTAAAGTCACAATTTACAAGAACTTATTGATGATGTTAAATGAGGACTTAATTTTTTTTTTTAAGATTTATTTTTATACAGAGCTGGGGTACAGGCCAGAGGCACGGGAGGGTGAAAGGATTCACCAGAGAGAGAGTGGGGAGCAGAACAGGCAGACGACCAAAAAATACTGCTGAGGGGAACAGCGGGCGAGTCAGGAGAGGTGCACTGTGTCATTCTCGCCGGTCGCCTGGCTGCCCAGAATCGAACCCACACTCCAGAGGCTCCGGACAGCCTCACAGCGCTGTGCTTAACCCGCTGCGCCACTGGGGAGGCCCCTAAATGAGGACTTACTGAATATAGTTTCTGGCATGTGTGCCTTTTTATGGAAAATATTTTGTTTGCTTTTTAAAAAAATAATGTATTTGTCCTAAGGGCTCTTGTTTACTCTTTACCTATATTCCTTACTTTCTTCATTAGCCTCACATGCCAGATAGTCCACAACAGTCTTCTCTTGGAAAGACAGATTCCTATTTCTCTGATTGCGCTGGACTATTTTTTAAAGATGAAACCCTAGATAAAGATTTAAATGGTGATGTATAAAATGCTTATATTTTCTGAACATTAATTTTATGATACAAAAAACTTGTTGCAGTTAATAATTTTCTCACTGAATTTTTTTTTTGAACAGATACGAGCAAGGAAATTAGCGTAATGCTGGTTGCTTATGCAAAGGTCTTAAGGCAAGTGTTTATGGTATAGTCCCTTGAGTGTTTCTTTTAGATACAGAAGTGTTCTTGAAACTCTGTAATAGGAAATTCAGTTTAGTGGCTGTAAAACCTGTTTAGTAATTATACTTTTGGAATTTTTAATTCTACCTTTTTAAAAAGTTAATTTTCGAAGAATAACCCAAATTTTTTCACTAAACATCCTTTATCCCTAGAGTTAACACTAGGCCTCTAATTTAGATGATATAACTTAAAACTTTAGGCAAAAACTATGCCTAACATACATTTCTTTGAAAAAAATAGTTTGATGAAGTTGATAATAGCAGTGACATTAAAGATAAATATATTTAGGCAATATGTAAATTTTATCTCTAGGTAGGTTTGAAGACTGAATTTAATATTTTATTGACCTGAGTTGATCATATTTATAAATTATTATACTTCTAGGTAGCCATTGTATTTAATGATGGTTTGTGTGTTGCTATTAAAATAATGTATGTAGTCTAGTATTAGACTTATAATGTGTAAGATACACTTTTTGCTGTGTGAACAGACTTTGCATAGCAAAATGTATTTGTGGGACTAATTTAACTATTACTGAATATATTTAATAGTATACTTAATAGTATAAATTAATCAGGCTTTCTTATGCACAAACCATTTAAATGAAATAGCTGACAAACATAGCATAATAAAGAACACCACTATTATGTTGCATTTACAGGTTATAGCTATGTAGTTTAATGTTAAACTTTTTTTTCCCCATTAGTGAGAGAGCAGCAGTAGATGCATCTTATATTGACGAAATAGACGAACTCTTCAAAGAAGCCAATACTCTTGAAAACTTTATAGTACAAAAAAGAGAGTTCCTGAGACAGAGGTTTACAGTAATCGCAAATACACTGCATAGATAAGATTGTGTACTTAAAATGAGCTGAGAATTTAAGCCGTTATTGTTGTAATGAAAGGATAACATTTATGCTCTCAAAGTTGTCTAGTTGTTAAAGAGCATGTGTACATTAAACATAGGAAAATCCTTGAATTTCTTTTCTGGATTTAAAAGGGACTTTAAGTTGGATATTAATATGAAGCCTTGTAGCTTTTCTTTTGAAGGTCAAATATTTGGCATACTTTCTGAAAGTGTAACTTAAATTATATATGGGTTCTTTTTTTCTTAAAAATTCTAGCCTTTCTTAAATTTCTAAAAGGAGATTCAATGAGTTAATTTGATATTGTTTAACAAGGAGACTCAATGAGTTAATCTGATGGCGTTTAACAATATTGCAGTTTTTCTTTCACAGTATTTTGTTTAAATTGCAGATAGCTTTGGAGATAGTATTAAAATGTTTTTCATGGATTAATATTATATAAAAATCCTTAAAAGTATAAAACCTTAAAAATATGTTCCATTTTTCCCAATATGTAATAAAATGTAACTGTGTTAATGCTACTTAATATTACCCTTTGATTATTTTTGTTATTTGTTATTATACATGGTTAATAAAAATTCTTGGTCTAAAATTACTTTCTTGTGGTAAAAGCAGTAAAATAAAAGCCAGAAATTACTAATCAGAACCTTTTATGAGTTGACTTTTTCACACATCAACCAAATCACTGATACTGTTAATGTATTATGTTTAGAAGCCTTAGCAGCAGTTTGGTATGGGATAAAGAAGAGTAGTCTACAGTAAAAAAAAATTGGTGGTTAAGTATAAAAAAATACTGTTTGTAGAGGGGCACACTACTGGCACAGGAAGGGTTGGTCAATGAAGTAGAAATGGAATTTTTAAATACTAAATGCAACCAGAAAATTATATTTGAGTTGATGAGACAAATTAGCTGAAGTTTAAATCATTCTATCACCTTACAGAATTCTTTAATGCTTGGATTATAAAGATGACTTTACTGGCCCATGCTCATTTAAAAACTGTTCCTTACTTATTTTTTCTAAGCATTTATTATTAATGTGAAACAAGAGACTGACATAGTTTTAGATTGAATTTTATAATATATTGGTTACGTATTGAACGTGTCACCGTTGTTTAGCATCTGTTTCTTCCCTGGGCATAAGAATCAGAACCTGGATTTGATCATTTCATTTGGTATGATTGAGACTAGGGAACTGATTATTTGAAGATATTTTATATTGAAATTTGCCTGTGTTTTTAATAACAAGGCTATCTGGGCCTCCCTGTTGGTGCAGCTGTTGAGCACTGGGTTGCGAAGCTGCCTGCGGCCTCCGTGGCGCCGGTTCGATCCCCGGCTGCTCCCCAGCCACCGCAGGAGGGTCCCACATGGCGCGCAGACCTCTCCTGCCGCCCGCTGCTCCCCTCAGCAGTGTACTTCGGTCCTTCTGCCTGCTCTGCTCCCCGCTCTGGCTCTGGTGAATTCTCTCACCCTCCCGTGCTTCTGACTGTACCCAGTGCTTGTATAAAAACAAACAAACAAACAAATAAATAAATAAAAACATGCCTCTAAAAAAAAAATAACAAGGCTATCTGATTTTTGTTTACCTGGCAATTGGTGAAATTATTGCAGTTTATGGTACTAATTTTTCTTTGCTTTTCAGAAATAATCCCTATATAGTGATAATGGTCAGGTCTTTAAATTAGCTGTTGAATTTCATTTACAGTTATAGTTGGTATTTTAATAACTATTTATAAGTATCTGGTATACTTCAGGTTTTATGTCACTTACATTTGCTTGTAACTGTATAGCTTTTTATATTATTTCTCAGTTATCAACTTCACGGAAATTTGTAATGGTCTTTTTTTTTTCCTATGGAAGTTTAAAAATATTCATCAATAAAAGCAACTCATGCCAGTGAGTTTTGGAAGGGTAGTTATTCTGTTTAAAGTATTTTATCTTGGTTTATTATTCTGTTGAGGTTTTACTTTGCATCAATTTTATTTTTTTTCCAGAATGATACCAATTTCATTGATGTTTTCACATATAACAGTATTGTTTCATTCTTATCACCTGTATATTGGTTGCTGTAGCTCCTTTCATGGAAAAAAAAACCCAAAACTTTATTGCTCTTTCTCCCTGAGGAAAACAAAAACTAAAGTCTAGGGAACTGATTTCAAGTCAGCGTATTTTCTGACCAGAACAGCTTCCTCTTAGTATAATAGTTCCTGAAAGCCTAAATAAGGCTTTTTAAAATTTATATTTGATTCCTTTGGCACCATCTACTGAAATTAGAATAATTAGTTCACAACTGGAGATACACTATTGCAGTAATACTATTGTCCTTTAGTTTGTAATTCTAATCTCCCTCCTTTTCATTCTGTAAAGTCTCATCAGTGTTAATTACTTTTCATTGGTTACATATTACATTAGGTATTGAACATCTTTGTACATCATACTCTCCTAGGCACTGTGGGGAATACAGAATAGTTTGATACTCTCTGTTCTCCCTTCTGACAATTTTGACAACCCCTTTCTTGAAATATACTTTCATGTCTTTGCTAAGAAGACATGATAATGTTAAAGACATCTCTTTGGCAGTGCTAGTAACACCTCAATGGAGTTACTAAAGGCCTTTGGCAAAGGGTCAGAGAGGTAAATTTAAAAAAATTTGAAAAAGAAAGAGGAAAGATATTTTAGGGAAAAATTTGCTCAAAGGCACAGAAGAACTAAAACACCTGGTATATTAGTCATTTTACTGGGCTGAGAATCCACTAAAGAGTTATATGTCATCTAAACTACTAAAGACTGAAACTAATGTTACAGTATATGTAAATTATACCTTTAAAAAAAACATGCTGGAGAACAGTTACTGAATCTTGTTTCTTGATAGTCTCAATTGATAGCATAGTATTTGATACAAAAGCACTACAAAATGTTTGGTAAAGTAATAGAATTCTGTAGGGTTAAACTTTTTTTTAAAAGGCATGCTTTCACAGAACTTGAACTTACTGGGTGTAAGAAAAGGTTTTGTAAATTAAATGAATAGGAAAAAAACCAAGAAGGATGAAATGCTAGAAAAACAGACACAAAGGATGAAAGGTAGGTTGTGGCCGGATAGAGTCCTTTGTTGAGAGATTAAATTTGGGCTTTATTCTGTAAAGAAAGAAGAATCTGAATCTTTCAAAGGAGAAGATCCATATAATGAATTTATCTTGGTGGTGGTCCAATTTCAGTATTTCAAACGACTACTTATTGTGGATATGTTGTTGGGATACTTGTCATGAAGTTGCAGGCGTTTTGAAGCCCCACCCCTCCATACCACCTGCCTCCAATCTCCTCCTATCCTGTCATTGAGCCAGGGACAGCCCAGGAAGTCTGTGAGCTTTCACTGTTTATTGGTGCACACCACTGCCAGCAAGCGTGAGGATTTGGAAATCACTGGATCTGCGACTACTGAACTCAATACAAAAATACTTTTCTGAATCTTTCTCCATTTTGTCAGTAATCTTTCTGCTATAGCAGTGGGTTTCCTTGGATACCAGGTAGGGCATTTGCCCCTCCCTCCTTGTCCTCTTCCTGCCAGTACATAGATTTCTGTGCCTCTTTCCTTAAGGATTCTGTGGGCTCCTGAAGTTTTCCACTCCATGTGAAGCAAATCCAGGTAGAGCAAGAGTTAAAGATAGGATTTGTTTACTTGTCAGGGAAACAGCCTTGTTTACAACACATTGGGCTGGATTCAGGGTTTGGGATCTGCAATAGGAAGACTTTAGGCCTTTCTAATTGAAAATCACCGCCTTACATGTAAATGTTTGCTTCTATTTGCATCTGGGGGACTGCCTTAAAACCTTTATTGTTTTGTAGCTTTTTATTATAGCTTCTGTTACCTGATTTTATTTATTGAAATTGGCTGATATAAAGCTGTCCGAAATACTGGTATGCTCTATAAACTTTAAAATTATTTAATTCAAGTAACAGTGCTGTAGTATGCAATGAAATGTGTTAGGTACTGAGGTGGGGGCAAAAACAAGATCTTGTACTCAAGGAGTACTACTGGTGGGGATTGAAAGGATACTCATCTTTATCACAAGGTGGAATAAGATTAACACCATAAGGGACTTAAAACACATGCTGTATTATGTATTCAGACTGGAGGAGTCCAGTTACTGCTGTAGCAAATGGGAATGTTGTGTTAATGAAGCAGGTAGCAGGGGTCCTGGATTTGGAAGAATGAGTAGGGTAAGTGAATTTGCTAAAGGAGATGGGAAATATCCCAGGTGAAGGGAAGAGAACACTTAAGAAGAGGGGAATAGGAGTAAACCAAGCATGGCTGGAGCAGAAATTGTGAGTGAAAGGCAGAACTGCACAGGTAGACTGGTGTGATACTACAGTGCCTGGCCAGGCAATTTTGACTCTACTTAGTAGACAATGAGGAGTCCTTTGTGAAGATTTTGTGGAGGACTATATGACACAGTCAGGTTTGTGTTCAGGTTAATTTAGTGAGCGTGCTCTCCAACGTTTTTTCTCATCATAGCCCCTATAGAAAATAGTCACACTTTTACCTTAGACTGGAGTATATTGGATGGAATCTGGAGCACTGATGAAATGTTCAGACCTGGAGACAGTTGACCTGTGGCCTCTGACCATCCCAGAGACTAGGGATCAAGAGGCCCACTGATTCTGAAGCTTTGGCATAGAACGTCGCTCCCCTTTCCGACTTTTCCTTTCAAATAAGTTTGTGATAATATCCATCTAAATGTTGTGAGGGCCTAAATTAGCAAAAAGAAAGTGACTGATAGGCAAGAGAAGTTGAAACATCGGTGCTGATGAGGACAGGTTTTGGATCAGCAGAAAACTTGGGGTGCTGCCCAGGAAGGTTGTACTGGTGTGAAAAATCTCAGCAAAGGACTTTTCCTAGGTACCCCTGGAAACTTCTGAGCCCTGTATTTGCTCTATATCATCCTCTTAGCATCCTCTTTCTGATCCTGCAGTCAGTGGAATTTAAGCACGTAGTGAATGAGCAGTAAAGAAGACAAACTCAAGGACCACGAAGGTTTTGAAGGTATGTGATTCAGGAGGTGGGAATTTCTTTTGAAGGGAAATCATGACTTCTCTTTTGTCATGTTGAGTCATCTGCAAGAAGTGATTGGTGACATTCAGGGACCAGATGAGATTACAAGGGAGAGTGCTGAGGTAAAGAGTAAAGGTCCAAGGTCAGACCTCAGGAACACATTCATTAGGTGATAAGGGAAAGAGGAGTCCATAAAGGGAGTTAACATTGGGCAGTTATCTACTACCATATTTAGTTATGCTCTGGAAGTATTATTCCCTTTTTAGCCCTAACATCCCCATTTTATCATTGAGTAGTAAGTAATTAGTAATTTGCCAAAAGTTGCCAGCTGGTGTGTGATGGACCTGTCAGAAAACAAAGACAAGCAGGAATGTTAAAAACGCGTTGTCTCAGAAGCCAAGAATAAAGAGGTTTTAGGAGGTGTTGACCTTAATTATTGTACTGCAGAAAGTTAGAAGAGCATCTGATAGACTCCAACAGAATGCTATGGTGTACATGCAGGTAGAAAATTATTTACTAACTGTAAATTGTTTAAATTCATGAATCTGTTTAGACAGATGCAAAATTCAGTTTAATTCTGATTGTTTCAACTTAATTCTAATTAGGCAAGAGAAGTAAAATACCTGTCCAGTGAATTTAAGAATTTATTTTAATTTAAGAGGAGAGTAAGATAAATATACATAATGTTAATAAAAAACCCATGAAGATAAATACCTGAGAGTTTCTTCCTGTAAGTTTTCAAAGCACCCTCCTCTTCATATCTCCACTACTGTGATTCAAATTTATGCCTATGAATACCTCTTTGCCTTACCCCAGAGACTGATTTATAAGTCTAGAGTGGAGTCCTTGAATTTGCATTTTTTCAGTAACACCAGGTATTTTTGTTACAAGTAGTCCTCAGACCACACTTTGAGAAACAACGCTCAAATAAAACACTAATTCCTATATAAATAATGTTTCTATGTCTTTATCTGACAGTTCCTTAATATCAGGGTTCTAATATTTTTTATTTGTCAGCAGTGCCTACTACTTGGTTGAATGAATAGATAATTCAAAGAAAGATAGTACATTTTGTTGGATTGGTCATTAAAATCTACATAAATAATAGCTAACATTTTGAGTACTAATTCATGTAAAAATTATCACAATAATTTCTAATAATTATATAACATGTAATTCATAATAAGACAATAGAACATAATTCATAAGACAATAAAACTGTGCTGTTTCATTTCTCAAATAAGGATTAAAATAATGCTTATAAGTTCAAGTTTTCACTTATGTAATAATGATGTTTACTTCTTGAGATTTTAGAAGTTTAGGTAATTTCAAATTATGTCACTGCATAATTTGACACTCTTTTCCTAGAAAATGCCGTGTACATTTATGTGTTGTCATTAAAATAAAGAGACTACATTGTAGATCCTATTAAAAACTAAGAAATCGGGCCTCCCCGGTGGTGCAGCAGTTGAGCGCTGGGTTGCAAAGCTGCCCGCAGCCTCTGCAGCGCCGGTTCGATCCCCGGTTGCTCCCCGGCCACTGGAGGAGGGTCCTGCATGGTGCGCAGACCTCTCCTGCAGCCCGCTGCTTCCCTCAGCAATGTGCTTCAGTCCTTCTGCCTGCTCTGCTCCCCGCTCTGGCTCTGGTGAGTTCTGTCACCCTCCCGCGCTTCTGACTGTGCCCAGTGCTTATATAAATAAATAAATAAACAAATAAGTAAATAAATAAATAAATCTTTAAAAAAATAAAAAATAAAAACTCAGAAATCACTGAATTATTTGGGATCATGTTCTGGTGTGTCTAAAGTACTGAGGTCAGTGTAATTATGATAAGATTGGTGGTCAATATTCAGCTTAACAATGAAATTGCTACTTGCATATCTGGAATGAGCATGTAGACTCAGTCTTGTTCAAATATGTGAGATGATGACAATAATAAAGTGCTGAGTTAATTTTTAGGCAGATTTGTATTGCAAGAATACAAGGATTGCTATGGTTCAAAGATGGAGAATGAGAGTTAATGATCTGAAAATGAGGAAGGAGAGAGGAATTTGGAGACTATTTGGTGTGTGTGTATTTCCCTCAAAACTACCAATAGATATTTCCATGTGTGTAAAATATTGGTAAAATTTTTTGTGTTCTTGATTTCCTCTTCACAGTTTCGGAGATGTCCATGGAAAATACTTACCAGAAAAATGTGACCTTTGGTAAGCGGGAGAACCTTCCATGTATTGCACCACTACTAACCACAGTGGAGGAGACCCCACAGGTCATCACTGCTCAAGTCCAAGGACATTTCCCTAAGTGGCTCAGTGGCTGCCTACTTCGAATTGGACCTGGAAAGTTCGAGTTTGGGAAGGATAGGTAAGCTTGGATTTGGGGGAACAAATTGGGTTTCTTTGCATGAGCTATATCTATAAACATGTATTCATATCTGCTTCCTCTTTGAGGCTAACATTGCTGTTCAGTCAGTTCCTTTGATGGGATTGAACACATAAGGAAACTATAGTTTATAGAAAAAAGAAATGGAGACTTCTTTTTAAAAGGTCTGACTTTTAAAGGACTTTTTAAAGGTCCTGACTTCTGCTTTGAAGAATATTAACAATTTGAAGTCCTCTGAAGGTTTATGCCAAAGGACAAATGTCAGGAACTATGTATGACTATTTTATTACAATGTCTTGACCTCATGCCACTCCCTTACCCAGTCCTCCCCAGACACAGCAGCTGTTTCAGTTCCTCTAACCGGGCACATTTAGTTTTTTTCAGGGCGTTGGCAGTAGCTCTAGCATCTATCTTCCCAACCTTGATTCTTGCCATTCAAATATCAGCTCAGCTCTCAAGTCCTTTGAGGCTTCCATGATCTTTCACTCTGAAAGTGCTGTTTTTTACATATTGACCTATTTTAAGTCTCTGCACAGCACTATATATCTCCAGTAATTTTCTTTGTTTATTCATCTGTTTATTAGGCTATTCCTCCGCTAGAATGTAATTTCTACGAGGGCAAAGACTTTTTCTTGTTCTCCCCATATCCTTAATATCGAGGAAGAACCTTGTACTTGAACAGCATTCAGTAAATATATGAAAATAACTAACAAATGAAAGAAAAAGCAACCCAGTAACTCTTTGTCATTTCTCTGTGTCCCTCTTAGGGTCATGAAGTGATATAAAGAAACCCTTGTCAGGAAGGAATCTGTTTTGTCTTTAATAATTTTAAAATATTAGAAACTTTTTTTTATTATGAAAGATTTTCCTCTATAAAAGTTTTTGAAATATAGAAAAGGGGTGGGAAGGTTTGTACTACATTCAACATTAGCATTTTGGTATATTTCCTTCCTGTTAATCTTTCCTTATTTCTATAGATTTGTTTTTAATCATTATGGTTATATGTAGACTTATTTTCTTGCCCTGGTTTTAAAAAAATTCACACTATAATATCTCTTTGTCCATATTGCTATAAAATCTGAATGACATTTTTTATTTATACAAGCACTGGGTACAGTCAGAAGCATGGGAGGGTGAGAGAATTCACCAGAGCAAGAGTGGGGAGCAGAACAAGCAGACTGATGGAATACACTGCTGAGGGGAGCAGCAGGTGTGGCAGGAGAGGTCTGCGCGCCATGTGGGACCCTCACCGGCGGCCGGGGATCGAACTGGTGCTGCAGAGGCTGCGGGCATCTTCGCAACCCAGCGCTCAACCACTGAGCCACCGGGGAGGCCCTGAATGACATTTTTTAATGACTGACTGATATTCCAGAAACCATTGCCTTTAAAAAAAACATGATAAAATACATATAGAATTTACCATCTTAACTACTTTTAAGTGTGCAGCTCAGTACATTTACATTTACAGGTTGTCATTTCCACCATCCATCCACTTTTCAACCTAAAAACTGAATCTCTTTACCCATTAAACACTAACTCCCCATTCTCCTCTTCCCCAAACCCCTGGCAACACTTATCCTTTCTGTTAGCTACATCACTTCCTTGAGCTTGCTGGGAATCTGATCATCATCCTTTTGTGTCTTCCCTCACTGTTGGAAACATTAAGAATTAGGGGCATGTTCATGATGCATTTATTAATATTCTAGATAGTTTAATTTGATGAACCTGTTGCATCTTGTCTTCACTAATAGTAGATTTATAAAATGATAATACTAGGAGGAAATAAAATGCAGTGGTCCTCTCCACCCTTCCCCAACTGTTGTATGACTCTTACTTACCTCAGAAGTTTCTTTAGATGACTGGGGTAGAGGTAGGGGTAAGAAGCTGGGAGGGAAGGCTTGAAGGTAGAGATGAAGAGTGAGCTGGGCTCTGGATCCTGCACCCCTGGTCCCGACTAGAGAAACTCTGCCTTTCCCTGTATTGTATGTGTCTAGCTTTCACATAAATTAAATTTTTTCTTTTCTTTTTTTAAAAAAAATATTATTTATGTATACAAGAATTGGGGTACAGGCCAGAGGTGTGGGGGATGAGAGTATTCACCAGAGACAGAGTGGGGAACAGAACAGGCAGATCCACCGAAATACACTGCTGAGGGGAGCAGCGGGCGAGTCAGGAGAGGTCTGCTGCACTATATGGGTAGCTCCCTGGTCAGGGATCGAACTCGTCTTGCAGTGGCAGCAGATAGCTTCATAGGTTGCGTCTTAACCCCTGCACCACCAGGGAGGCCCACAAGTTAAATTAAAAAAATATATATATTAATGAGATAAAAAGGAAGAGGAGGAAGAGTAAGAAAAATAAAAAACACTAGTCCAATCCCTGGAGAGTAGCAGCCTCTTGCAGGAAGCATACAGTATTTTGTGTGCTGCAGTAGCAGCTCTACTCAGTGTTGTAACCAAGCAGCAGAGCTGCTCAGGCCTACGCACAAACTACTGGCCTCATTTAAGATAAATATATGTGGGGGATGTGGGCAGTGTGGTTGGTCCTCTCAAGTGTCTACTTTGTCCTCCTAGTAAATTTTTTCAGAGCCAGCAGTGGGGATTTATAGCAAGAAGTGAGTCTTTCCTGCCCCTTGAGTGAGGAGTACAGGTACCTTTAGGTCAAAAGGAGAGATAATTCAGGATTCAGTTTAGACTTGGTGGGAGGGGTGGGGACCTAAAGCTGGTGTAACCTTAACCTGTGGGGTTAAGAAGGGGTAAGAATGACCCCACCTGATTGGGAATCTCTCATTGCTTTATTAGGTGCCATTTAATAGGTCCCTACAGACATAGTGTCTTGGCAAAGGCCTTTCTTCAATTAAAAATTATTATATCAGTATCATTACAGACATGCTAATTAAGTTTTTAAATTGCATAAATAGTAAACAGCCTCAACATTTTAATATTTACCAATCTGGTATGACTTCAGATGCAAGATGAAGATAGTCTAGTCTTTGTCTGTGCACCGCAGCCTTAACTGAGGTCATATCCTACAGTTTATTCCACAGAATTGGCCTGCCCCTGGCATCTTGAACTTTAAATTCTTCTCTGTGCTCAGAAACCCCAATTTTCACTCTCCCTCATTTCCATCAAGTTAATTTTCAGCTGGATCAAATTTTCTCCTAGATCTGTATTTTGCCAGGTGACTGTGAGATATATTCATCCTAAAGTTTAACAAATAGCTCAAACTCTTGTTGAAAGCTGAACTGTTTGCCCCTACCCCAAACCTATTCTCACATAGTCTCCATCTCAGTTCAAGCCTCACCATACATCCATTCATTCAGGTATGACTTTTTGGACTCTTTGTCACTGCCTACAACCTGTAGGTTGCCTCTGACTTGTTTTTGGAGTTTTCCTTTTCTAATTACATTGTAGTTCAATTTAGGCTCTCACCTTCTCTCTCTTGAATTATTACCCAGTTTCCTCATAGTTTTCTACAAATCTAGATGCTCCTCTTTAAAAAAAATTTTTTTCGAAGTGACATTAATTAACAACCGTATGTTTTAGGTGTATAGATCCACTCTTCTACACGGGTATGTTAGCACACCATGTCCACCCAAAACACCCGTCATCTTCCACCGCAGTCCGTTGAGCCCCCTCCTCCCTTGGCTCCTCATTCCCGTTCTCCCTCTGGTTGCCTCAGTTCTGCACACAGATTTATAGGGTTTGTTTGGTTTAGTTTTGTCTGTTACTTTTCTTTGTTTCTTTGTATTTCACATGAGTGAAATCATCTTGTATTTGTCTTTCTCCTTCTGAATTAGGGTAGTTCTCTCCAGTTCCATCCATGTTGTCACAGATGGCAAGATTTCAGCTTTTTTCTTGGATGCTCCTCTTTCTGTCCCATATTCTACTCTGGCCAGAATTACCTTTTTAAGGTGTGGGTCTTAAGTTTCTTCAGTTTCAAAATCCCATACTTTCCTGTTGAAGGTGTCTAAGGCTTAAGTCTAAGCACTTGGTCACGTGCTGATCTCTTTTTCCATCATCATCACCTGCCGGTGACAGCTCTGCCCACGCCTGGGAGATGGCTACTCCCCTGATTTCATGTGGCTTCCCGCTGCTTCCTCCTTTTTATCACCTTTGCCTTAACACCTTTCTCCTCTTCTCCAACTGATAAACATCTTTTTTTTTTTTAATAAAGATTTATTTATTTATACAAGAACCGGGGTACAGGCCAGATGTGCGGGAGGGTAAGAGGGAACAGAACAAGCAGGCAGACTGAAATACACTGCTGAGGGGAGCAGCGGGCGAGTTGGGAATGGTCTGCGGCACCATGTGGATTGCTCTGCAGCTGGCAGGGATTGAACCGACACTGCAGAGGCTGCGGACAGCTTCACAGCACTGTGCTCATCACGTGCACCACTGGGGAGGCCCTGATAAATATCTTTAAAGAACCAGACATACATCTCTTTCCTCTTGACCATCCTGGATCCCCACATCCTTCTGTTCTGTGGGTCCTCTGGTGCATTGATGGTGTTTCTAGATGGTTGTCCATTGCAATGGATGGAAGTCACTTTGCATCAACTTAAAGCCCTAACAAGAGTCAGCCTGTCCTTTGAAGTGGCAGTCATTGACTTCTCTTTAGTTATGAAAGACCTGAATGTTATCTTCTTCCATTAGACTTTGGCTTAAAGAAATGTTGTGGCTGGTCTTGTATCCAGACCACTGAAACTTTCTCCATGTCAGCAATAAAGATGTTTTGCTTTCTTACCATTTGAGTGTTCATTGGAATAGTACTTTTAATTTCCTTCAAGAACTTTTCCTTTGCATTCACAACTTGCCTGTCTGGTTCAGGAGACTTAGCTTTTGGCCTCTTTAAACTTTTGGCATACCTTCCTCACTAAGTTTAATTCTTTCTAGCTTTTGATTTAAGGAAAGACATGTTATTCCTCCTTTTACTTACACACTTAGAGCCCATAGTAGGGTATGGCTTAATTTCAGTACAGTTTGTGTTTCAAGGGAGAGGGAAGCCTAAGGAGAGGTGAGGGCCACAGGGATGGCAGGCTGGTAGAGGAGTCAGGACACACAAAATATTTACCAATTAAGTTCACCAACTAAATGGATAGGGTTTTGGTGCCCCAAAGAATCACAACAGTAAAGTCAGAGTTGAAACAGATCATCATAACAGATACAGCTAGTTTGAAATATAATAAGAATTATAAAAATGTGACGCAGAGACATTTTTCAGTGAGCACATGCACTGAACAATGATGCTGATAGACTTGCTTGAAGCAGGGTTGCCACAAACCTTCAGTTTGTGAAAAAACGAATTATCTGCTAAGTATGATAAAGCAAAGCACAATAAAATGAGGTATGCCTGTATTTGAAATCACTCCTTTTGTTGTCCTACTATTTGTTTTTCCTACTATTTGTTTTTCTGTTTTTCTGCCTGTGTGAAGGTATAATCACTGGTTTGATGGAATGGCTTTGCTTCATCAGTTCAGGGTGGAGGACGGCACAGTGACATATAGGAGCAAGTTTCTACAGAGTGATACATATAAGGCCAACAGTGTTCATGATAGAATTGTGATCTCCGAATTTGGTACACTGGCTCTCCCTGATCCATGCAAGAATGTTTTTGAACGTTTCATGTCAAAGTTTGTGCCACCTGGTAAGCAACCTCTAATGTGCTCACAGTTTGCAGGTAATAGTGACATTTAAATTATCACGATAGATGATAATTTACCTAAATATAAATCTTCAAATAGATTTTTTTTTTTTGCTATGAGATGATGTTTAAACTGCTTTTGCCCTCTGATTGTGTGCCTAGGGGCTGCTATAGTAAGTTGTGGTATTCTAATGACTCGGGTTTGGTTGCAGCAATAAGCGACAACACCAATGTCAACTATGTGCGCTACAAGGGTGATTACTACGTTAGTACTGAGACCAACTTTATGAATAAACTGGACATTGAAACCCTGGAAAAAACAGAAAAGGTAAAATACAGGTTTAAAAGATACATAAAATAGTTCCTAAATTTCCCCCCTCCATTTTAAATGCTTTTCAGCAGAGTAGTAAAGATCTAAAGAAATTGGAGGCTTAACCAAATAAAATCAAGGTTAACCATTGATTTACATTATGTGCAACCTCTGTCCTAATTAGAATGGCCTGTGGAGTTGGTTTTCCTTGAAGATAATTCTAGATTTCTTCCTTAGTCCTAATATCTGAAGACTAGGGTAAAGGAGAAATATAATAGTGCAGATTTACTTTTGCCTCTTCATGTTTTCTTAACTACAGAAAGAATTGGACAGGAAATTGTTTTGACCCAGACTGCCTTTACTTGCATATTTAAAGTAAAATAAAATTTCAGACCAGGATTTTAGTATTAATTCTTATCCTTTTGAACTTTCCTGTGATGTTGGATAAATCTACTCAGGGTTGGGGCCTCCCTGGTGGCGCAGCGGGTTGAACGCCGCACTGTGAAACTGCCCGCAGCCCCTGCAGCGTGGGTTCAATTCCTGGCCAGCCAGGGAGAAACCCACATGTCACTGCAGACCTCTCCTGTTTTGCCCGCTGCTCCCTTCAGCAGTGTCTTCTGTCCGTCTGCCTGTTCTGCTCCCCGCTCTGTCTCTGGTGAATTCTCTCACCCTACCATGCCTCTGACCTGTACCCCAGTCCTTGTATAAATAAATAAATCTTTAAAATAAAAAAAAATATCTATTCAGGGTTTTTCTTTTTTCTTCTGTTGTTGTTGGTGCCTTTGTTCTTAGTAGGAAAATAAGTTAGATTTTTCAGAGATGAGCTATTAGGGTTTAAACTGTATTTTTTGTATCTATTTTAGAAATATTTACATATATCCCTACTGTCTCTGCCTATAGAGATTTGCCCATGTAACATTTAAAGGTCTCTCCTGTCCTAAATTTGCAGGTAGACTGGAGCAAATTTATCGCTGTGAATGGAGCAACTGCACATCCTCATTACGACCCAGATGGAACAGCATACAACATGGGGAACTCCTATGGGCTACGTGGTAAAGTTGGGACAGAGCGCTTTTAAAAAATAGCTGGGCATTACCTTTCTTCCCAGTTTTCTGTTATGGTTCTGATGTAAACATATGAAACTTCAACTGAAATGTTTAGAAAGAAATCTCCAAAGTGGTATCACTGAACTTAAACTGTGTAATTTGTCATTAAGCATGTGTTGTGTGGGCCTTCTGCATCTACCTTAGCAGCTGATTTTCTGCTTTTTGACACACAACCTTTATTGGGATTTTCGGTATGTATTTCCCAAACTTGAATTTTTAAGAAGACTTGTATTATAAAAAATTTAGAATGCTGCAATCTGTCATATGGGAAGGAACTTTTTCTCAGGAGAGTAACACAAACCAAGCTAAAGTTACAGTGAGGTAGTACCCACAACCATTTACTTCACACTTTCCTAGTCACCCATATACTTCCTCAGCTGCCTACAAGTTTGCTCTAGAAAGTTCTAACAGTAATAATGATAGCTAACATTGATTGAGCATCTACAACGTGTTGTTAAGCATTTTCTGTATTGCCTCACTTTCCATGTATTTTCTCACTTATAATAGTTTTCTGAGAAAGGTGCTAGTAGTATCCCCATTTTATAGACAAGGGCAATGACCCTTGTGAAGGTTTGAGATACTCAGGCAAGTTTCTGACTAAGGCCAAACTTGGTTGCAAGCCTGAATCACACCCAACGACTTGTTATTAGTCACTCTGTTAGGCCGTCTTCATAACTTTTTAACTCTGATTACAGAAGACTCTCTTGAGGCATGCAGATTCATGCTTCTGTACCTGAGTACACATGTATTTCTGTTTGAAACAAAATATGTATAGATAAGTATTAGACATTCCTGACTATATCTTAGCTGTCAACCTATCTATTATTTATTATTATATAAAGCTTTTGTGTAGGTTAACTTTGGTATAGGTTAATGTATACCTTTGCTGAAAAATTGACTTTGTGGGTTGTTCATCTCTACATCTCCGTATTTACACATGTCAGTGTGTATGAAAATGAATACTGCAGGTTTCTCTATGGCTCCAGCTCTCTTTATTACCTGATCTCTGGTTGGGATGTATTCCTCAAAGCTGTTACAGGAAACAACAGTCCTTTTAGATAAAATGTTTCAGCAAGTGGGTAAATTGCCTCAGTTTTTTGTCTATCATCTTTTTTGATTATTAAAAAATGTATTTATTAATAAGGTAATTCTAGGGCCTCCCCTGGTGGTGCAGGCGGTTGAGTGCTGTGCTGTGAAGCTGTCTGCAGCCTCTGCAGTGTCGGTTCGATCTGGCGAGGGTCCCACATGGTGTGGCTGACCTCTCCTGCCGTGCCCACTGCTCCCCTCAGCAGTGTATTTCATCAGTCTGCCTGTTCTGTTCCCCGCTCTGTTTCTGGTGAATCCTTTCACCCTCCCGCGCATCTGGCCTATATCCCAGCTCTTGTATAAAATAAATAAATAAATCTTTAAAAAAAAAAGGTAATTCTATTAACCAAGTAGATAACTTTGTAAATAGTCTATAATATTTTAATATTTGTTTAACCATTATGAATTATATATTCTAAAATACAGAGTTATTAAATCAGTGATTCATAGCCTAAGATTAATCTGGAATGCTTCCTAGCATTGTGGATTTTTGGACTTCATCTTTAGATATTCTAGTTCAGTTGACCTGAAAAGGGACCAAGAATCTGCATTTTAACCAGCCCCCCTTACCCCTTATCTTGGTGCATTTAACAAGGTCCCCAGGTGATTTTGGTACAAGAGGCTCCTGGATATCTCTTTAAGAAACCTTGCCACCAGTCATTGTTTATATAAAGATCTGAAAGAGTCTCATTCCTGAGTTAGACTCATTCCTGGGCAGGTCATTCCTCTTCTGGGTGTTCCTGGGTGTCTGTCTATCTTGCTTATGCCTGTAGTTAGAATAGTTCATTAGTTATAATAGTGTTTAGTTTAATGAATTGAGTAATGCAGTTTCTGATATTATTTATCTTTTCCTAATATACATTCAAACTGGATCTACTTCTTTTCTCTTGCTTGATTATTTGGTTCGGTGAGGAGTTTTTGAACTGGAACTCAAATGTGTAGCTATAGAGAGTTTGACAAACCAGGATATATTTTGGTAAAATTTAGTGATTTGCATTGTAGTAAAGTGCTGGCTAGTAATTTCTAATTTTAGGAAGTAAAAAGCTTTTAATTGTTTTAACTTTTCCAGATATTTTCAAAAGACTTTGAAAAACTAACAACCCTCTAAACATTAATCAGTCCATTTAGTTTTTAATGCTAATCTAAAACATGAAATCAGTTACACAGTAATATTGTTCTGTTGGCACTATAGAGCTTGTCTTTTATTTCTTTTATAACTCATCAGAACATGGTATTGTCTATATAGTAGATTCTCAAAACACATCTATATCTCCAAACTAGACTTCTCCAGTATTTTATATAGAATTGCCTATAGTATTTTTACTAGGATGTGCAGTAGGTATTACAAAATTAATTTGTCCAAAAATAAACCCCTTATCATTCCGCCTATAAGTTCTCTGCTGAACATATTCCCCACTTCAGTTGATAGTAACTCCATCCTCACAGCTGCTAAGGATGATAACTTTGGAATCATTCTTCACCTTTCTCTGTATATTTCACATTCATTTCTAGTGAATGGTGATTTTTGGTCAGAGTGATTTTAGCAGTGCCTTCAAAATAGATACAAAATCCAACAACCTCATATCACCTACAGTGCACCTCTAGTTTTAGCCTCTATTCTGTCATTTGAAGTATTGTGATAACTTCTTAATTAGGGTTTGTGCTTCAGCTTTTGCCCTTGTTCTACCTCAGTTTATTCTCATGGTACCACCCAGATATCCTTTGAAACTCTTTGCTTACTGTGGCATGGCCACGCTGGCCTCCTTGCTGTCTGAGCACTTCAGACTTACTCTTGCCTGAGAATCTTTGCATTTGCTCTTCTCTTTGCCAAGGCTTCCTTCCTTACTTCCTTTAGATCTTTTCTCAAATGTTGCTTTCTGGTGAAGCCTTTCCACACCATCATATTTGAAATTGCAAACAGTAGCTTTCAATGTATGCACTCATTCCTGAGTCTCACTACCTGGTTTATTTTCCATTATAGTTCTTAGCATCTGTTGCATTACAGCATGACTTACAAATTTACTAGAATTTAGATTTTATAAACGCGCTTTTTGTCTGTTTTGGACCCTGCTGTATACAAATATCTTGGTTATAGTACTTAGAACACTTCGAAGAGTGTCTGGAATATAGTGGGAAGTTAAAAGTAGTTGTTGAATAAGATAATAAAAAACTGTATGGTTACCATGTTTCAAAAGAAGCTTAGTGATTACAAAATTCTGTAGTTATGCAAGTTTTTTAGAACCTACATTGGCAATTCTAATATCAGGGAGATATTAGAATGCTGGTTAACCCTTTAATGGCTGTTTATAGTGTACCTACTAAATGCTCAGTCCTTGTTGTTACTGAGGATGCAGTGTCACATCAGACACAATTACTGCCCTTGAAGTGCTCATCCATCTATTGGGAAATAGATAAACCAGCAGAAAATTATAGTACAATAAGATAAGTGCTAAGACTGTATAGAATATAACCAGGGCAGAGAGAAAAGATACCAAATGCCTTTGGGGTGGGGAAGATTGGGGAAAGCTACTTAGGGACTGGATGCCTGACTTGATTCTTAAAGAAGTAATAAGCAATGGTCAGATGAAGGATTGCATGAATGAATGTTGATGGGACAGGATGAGATAAGACCAGAGTGACTTCAGAGATCCACACGGATCCACCCAGTTGGGCCTGGGTTCAAATAATTGATGGGATTGGGGAGTGAGGAGAGGAACAAATAGAATTTGCGGATGTTTGGGCTGCTACCTTATCTTTTCCTATGAAGTAGGGATTAAGTTTCTCTTTAGGGAGTGAGGGTGTAGCCATTTGAGGGCATTAAAAGACAACATTCTGTTGGTTGATTACTTTGCTGTTTCAAAGCCTTAGCTTTATGAGTGGCATTGGCTATTTTATATCCACGTCTTTATTTGAAATAGCCCTTCATGAAATATGGTGTCATGCATATTACATAAATTTCATAACTGTGTAGTCCACAAGTGCAAGGGTTATATCTTTGATTCTTAGAATGTATGTAAAAACAGTTAACACTTTCCTTTTTTCAGGTTCTTCTTATAATATTATTCGGGTTCCTCCAGAGAAGACTGACCTTGGGGAAACAATCCATGGAGCCCAGGTGATATGTTCTATTGCTTCTGCAGAGAGGATGAAACCTTCATACTACCATAGTTTTGGTGAGCTTGGTAATAGGCCCTTGGTAATAGGGCCTGCCTTATTATTACTGTATCAGAGAGACTAATGTTAGCAAGTACTGTGTTAATACAGTTTCTCCTACTATGGTGATCATAAGTCCAAAGTTACGTTAAGTTTATTCTGTTTAGTCACGTGCTGCTTATCCTAGCCAACTCACTTCTCGAAAAGATAATTATTTTAGCACAATTACTCAAAAATTAATTGACCCCACTAAGAGTGAACCATAGTGTAAACTATATTTTGGGTATTGGGTAATTATAATGTAGATACATTTGTTGCAACAAATATACCACATTGGTGGGGCTATGTGTGCATGGGTACAAGAGGTATAAGAAAAATATCTTTGTACGGTTCCTCAATTTTGTTTGTGAATCTAAAACTGATCTGAAAAAGTAAAGTCTTAAGAAAATAATTTTACCATAAGTATTAATATGCAGAATTTACAATCTTAGGCAACTTTAAAACCTGCAAATAATAGCCATACATGAAAAGATCTTGACTACGTTATTTTGGGGGTGGGAGGGGAAGAAATTCTTATTCTGTATAGATTGCTTCAGCTCTTTCTCAGGATATTTATTGTTAGCATTTTAAAGCCTTATAGCCAGCCTGCTTCTGTATCCTTATTCCTCATATAAATAGCAAAAAATTTAAGGAATAAAGGACTGGATAATAATTGATACTTTAATATAAAACTTTACTTTGTTCCTAAACCAAACAATTTTATTTTAATTTTAATTAAAACAATTTTTTTTAGTTTTATTTATTTATGCATATAAGAACTGGAGTACAGGTCAGAGGTTCTGGGAGGTGAGAGGGTTCACCAGAGACAGAGTGGGGAGCAGAACAGGCAGATCTACTGAATTACACTGCTGAGGGGGACAGTGGGCAAGGAGCACCAGGAGAGGTCTGCTGCACCATGCGGGTCACCTCCCTGGCCAGGGATCGAACTCGTGCTGCAGTAGCTGCGGATTGCTTCATAGTGCTGATGCTTAACCCCTTGCACCACCAGGGAGGCCCAAACCAAACAATATTAAAAAAAGAAAGAAAAAAAGAGAAAAAGCAAACAGAGGGCAATCAATCACAAGCTATTCTAAGTCATTCCCTTTTTATTGTAGGAAAAGCTAATAGCTATAACAAAGCTGGGAAATAGTGAAGAATTATTTCTGGTTGATGTTTGTTTTGGTCAGCAGTAAGATGTCCAAGCATTCAGACAAATCCTTATACCTGTCACATTTCAGATTACTCTAGGTTACCAACTAACATTTTATAGTTTGCTGGAACCTTTCAGGAATGACAAGGAACTACATAATCTTCATTGAACAGCCTGTAAAGATGAATCTGGGGAAATTCATCACTTCTAAAATTCGGGGAAAGGCCTTTTCAGATGGAATAAGCTGGGAACCCCAGTACAATACACGATTTCATGTGGTGGATAAGCACACTGGACAGGTAGAGTATTTTGAGTATATTTATTGTGGATGTGCTTAGCTGCACATTTACATAGGGTTGATTTTTATCTTTGCTGGGCATCACTGATGTTTTTTTAATGTAAAGGTTTCTGTAACTTTTGTAAAAGTTACAGATATTTTGATTAGTTGCTTCTGTGACTTCTTGATACATAAATATATAATCTCACCAAAGTTCAGACCACATTGGTTAAGTATCTTTCTATATTCCTGCTTAATAGTGCTATATTTATCTACATATTACCTCTCTAAAGAGATAATATCCTAAATTTACTGTACCCAGTTTCATTACAAAAATAATACCATTTTAATAGTGACTGTATTTTTCAAAGAATTTGTCACTTAATTTATCATAAGCTACTTAACAGCATTATTTTCTATTTAATCATGTCCTTAGAGTCTGGGATTTATCCTTCAAAACATTGGATCATATTTCAAGAGGATTCTTAAGTTAGTTGTAACAGTTCATTGGTTTATCTCACATGGCCCCACTTCATGGATTAATCTGAGATAAGATGAATTGTGTAAGCAGTGCTTATTAAATTAAATCACATTTGCACTGGCACTCCAGATCCTACTTTCTGTACCTACCAGACCTCCTTAAAGAAGATCATCTTTTTTTTTAAAATTAAAATTGAAATAGTTTATTTTCAAAATGAAAAATTACCAAGACTGTACAGAATTCTACAGAAACGAATTTGAAAATATGGAAGAAATGGACACTCATAAGTAAATACAAATGACCACTATTGACTGCTGTAGAAAATTCAAACAGATGAGTTACCGTGGAAGTCCCAGTTTGTGCCTAATGACATGTCCCACCTGACTTTGGGATTTTTTGTTTTTAAGAAAATGTCATTATTTTAAAATGCACTAAAATAAGATGTGGTAGTATGTGAGAGATGAGGAGTATAGCTCTGCTTTTCTCCAAGTGCAAGTTCACCTCCCTCTCCCTTTATTTTATTTATTAGTTATTATTATCATTTTTCATTTTTGCACAATGTATGCATTTTCATCTTGGTTATAGTCCCCATACAATTCCCACCCCCCTTGTTTTGTACCTACTCCCTCCCCCAACCCCTGTAGTATGTCTCTGGTTTATAGTTGCTTGTTGATTTTGATTTTTACCTTATTATAATTAGTCTTTTTCCTGGTCCCTTATTTAGGTTTTCTAAATTCCTGCTATGAGTGAGACCATCCGATATTTTTCTTTTTCTTTCTGGCTTATTTCGCTGAGCATGATCCAGAAGGAGATCATCGTAATGAGCTTTGTGGCTCAGTTTCCTTAAGGAAAAATGAAAGTAAAATAAAATAAGATCTCTTTTTCATTGTTTGTATTTTCTCCTGCAGCTTCTTCCAGGGATGTACTATAGCAAACCTTTTGTTTCTTTCCATCAAATCAATGCCTTTGAGGATCAGGACTGTATTGTAATTGATTTGTGCTGTCAAGATAATGGAAAAAGTCTAGAAGTTTATCAACTCCAGAATCTTAGGAAAGCTGGGGAAGGGCTTGATCAGGTAAATATTTCTGATTTGTCGGAGTTGTGAAAATAATTTTGAAGTAGCAAAGTTCTGGCCTTAGCCTTGGAGTTAGCAGTTTCTCTTGCCTTTTTGGCAAATAAGGAGGAGGAATGGTTTTAAAGCACTGAAGACACAGTTTTATCATTTATTTATTTAGTTATTTATTTAATACTTTAAAATAATTTGAAGCACTTAATCCCAGTTTCCCTTATTATTAATATGTTGCCGTGATGTGGCAAGTTGTTATAATTGATGAACCAATACTGATAAATACTAACTAAAGTCCATAGTTCACATTAGGGTTCACTCTTTTATTTTACGGTTTTGACAAATGCATAATGTCAAGTATCCACCTTTATCCCATTATGCAGAATAATTTCACTTATAAAAATACCTTCCCTATTTTCTTCCCTACTTCTCACAATCCCTGACAATGACTAATGTTTTCTACTGTCTGTAGTTTTTCCTTTTCCAGAATGTCCTTATATTTGGAATCATGCCACGTTAGATTTTTCAGACTGGCTTCGTTCACTTAGCAATATGCATTTAATGTTTCTCCATGTCTTTTAGTGGTTTGATAGCTCATTTCTTTCTGTCACTGAATACTACTTTTTTGTGGGTCACCATAACTTATTTATCCATTCACCAATTGAAAGCTATTTTAGTTGCTTTCACTTTTAAGCAGATGTGAATAAAACTGCTATAAACATTCATGTGCAGATTTTCTGTGGACATGTCAATAGATTTTTTTAAAAAGGTACTTTTTAAAATTATGAAAGCTCCCCTTCTAGTTTACTACAAATTTTATCATGGATGAATATTGGATATAGCAAATGTTTTTTCCTGCACTATTGAGATAATCACATGGCTTATCTTTTATTCCATTGATGTGATGAAGTACATTGGTTGATGTTTAAAATATTTATAACAGCCATTGATTAAGTTTTGAATGTTAAGCTAATTTTCCACTCCTGAACTAAATTCTAATTATATATAAAGTATATATATAATATATATATATTTAATCTATTTCTTGTTTTGCTTTGCTGATCTTTTGTTTAGGATTGAAAAATCTGTTTCATGAATAAAATTGGCCCGTAATTTTTTCTTACAATGTCATTGTTAGGTTTTGCTATTTAGATTTTTCTGATCTCACGCAATTGGTTAGAAATTGTCTCTTTGCTAGTCTTTACATGAAAATGTATAATATTAACCTTACTTTTTAAATGTTTGGAATAATTCAGCAGTGAAGCCTTCTGCGCCTATAAATTTCTTTATAGGTAGATCTCTAATTATGTATTCTATTTCTTTTATACTAAGGATTACTCTGATTCTCTATTTTTTTAAGGATTTTTATTTTATTTATTAATTTAAAAAATATTTTATTTTATATAATTCTTACATCATTTTTGATTCTCTATTTCTTTTCATGTCAAACTTGGAAATCATTTCTGTGTAAGACGGAGAAAACAAGGACTAGGTATATGGGGTGGGGGTGGGATATGACATAGTTTGTCCTTTATCTTACAGTATTTCAAGAGAGAAAAATGTGCTTAAGGCATTCTTTTTAAAAAATTAATTGACTAAAGCTATTAATTAACATTACGTTTTTTTTTTAAATTTTTTTTTTTATTCTTTTTTTTTTTAAAGCTTTATTTATTTATTTATAGAAGCACTGGGTACAGTCAGAAGCGCGGGAGGGTGAGAGAATTCACCAGAGCCAGAGTGGGGAGCAGAGCAGGCAGAAGGACCGAAGTACACTGCTGAGGGGAGCAGCGGGCGGCAGGAGAGGTCTGCGCGCCATGTGGGACCCTCCTCCAGTGGCCGGGGAGCAGCCGGGGATCGAACCGGCGCTACAGGGGCTGCAGGCAGCCTCGCAACCCAGCGCTCAACTGCTGCGCCACCGGGGAGGCCCAACATTACGTTTTTGAAGTGACATTGGTTTACAGCATTGTATTTATTTCAGAGGTGCAGGTTCACACCTCTTCAAATGTATGTTACCACACTACACTCACCCAGAGCCCTCCACCAAGGGCATTATTATTGTCAGAAACAACACACTTATTTTATTTGGGTCTCCTACTTAAACATCATCTTTGCAGAGAGGCGATGTTGGGGGTCCCCAGGACTACCTCTTGGTTTGATGATTTACTAGTACCAAAAAAAAATTTAGCAAAAAGAAAAAGTGTATGGGATGAAATCTAGAGGAAACCAGGTACCTGTATCTAAGAGTCCTCTCCTAAGAGAGTCACACGGAAGATGCCATGTTCCTCCAACAACTCTTGATATTGTGTGAAATGTCTGCCAGAGAGGTGCACCCGAGCCAATTGTCAGGGTTTTTACTGAGGATCAGTCATGTAGGTGTATAGCTCCTACATGAGTAACCTTGGCTACTGAAGCTCCAGACCCCCATAGGGAAAACACGTGTTCAGTATAAATTACATTGATGGTGTAAACTATCTGGACAAACTATATAGTATTATTCAAGGCCTCAGGTATTCAAAAACACTTCCTTTAGACAAGACAAGAGCTCAGTTTCCAGTGGCCAGCCACGTGATGAAAACAGGCATTTCTCCAGCATCTGCAGGATGTGAGTAACCCAGATTTGCTAAATTAACCCTTTTCTATACCAAGGTGAACCCTGACCAGACCTGAAGAAGGCAGCACCCCTTTTTAGTCTCTACAGTATGTTGCTTAATGTCATTTATCACTATCAGACCTTGGGCATAGACTCATAGGTTCATTTGATACTAATTAAATAACATACTTCATATTTGTTGAATAATTGAATGAATAAAAATGATCATTTACACACTTAACTTAGAAATGCCAGTAATGTTGACTGGATCTGAATTCTTGGCACATGCTATTGCTATTCTATGTGTGACAGCTTTCTCATATATTTATTTCTCTCCTGAATAGGCTTATAATTCGGTAGCCAGATCATTCCCTCGAAGATTTGTTTTGCCTTTAAATGTCAGTTTGAATGCCCTGGAGGGACAGAAACTCAGCCCTTTGTCCTATTCTTCAGCCAGTGCTGTGAGACAGGCTGATGGAAAGGTATGCCACCAATAGACTTTAAACTAAGACTTTGCACTTTAGTGGTTACTTTACTCTTTGGCTGTTCTCCACAGTGTTTGCTGCCCAGCTAAGCAGGGTAAGGTCTTGGCACATTGTTTCTATGAGAACCACATAATTCTGGGTGAGAATGAGCACTATATTTGCTTATTCTTTTTGTGTTCTGAAACAGATATATGGAACTTTCAAATGGTTGTGGAGTGTTTAAGCATTTGAGATTGGTATTGACTATCCCATCCATTTTGAAGATTTGTGCTTACAGGCAGATCATTTGTAGCTATTGCTTAGCTTTAGTAGAATAAATAGCCCAGTTCTACCTCCAATGCCATCTGAAAGCTTAGTCAGAAAACTCGATAATCTTTTATATATTGATACACATGATAGAAAGAGATCTATATAAAAAATGACACAGAACCTCAGTTTCCAAGCCCTGTCACAGACTCTATCAGCCTGCACCCCCTCACCAATCTATATTGAAAAAAATAGCGAATAAACAACCAACTATTATATATCATTTTGGTATCTCTTTTAGATTTGGTGTTCTTATGAAAATCTGCATCCTGAGGACCTAGAGGCAGAAGGTGGTGTTGAATTTCCCCAGATCAACTATAGCCAATTCAATGGCAAAAAGTATCGTTTCTTCTATGGCTGTGGTTTCCGACATTTGGTGGGGGATTCTCTGGTCAAGGTTGATGTGGTGAACAAGACACTAAAGGTAATGAATATCTCCTTTTCTGAACTTTACAAGGCCTTGTTCTACCCTTTGAGTTTGTTTTGTTTAAGGTAGCTCTTTAGATCTTTAACACTTAAGTAGCACAGCCATTTACTTTTATTAAGTTAGAGAATGAATCACCTAGGTAAGGGTTATGTGTCCTCTAGGAAATCTAAATGAACCATGAGTACAGAAAAATAATTCTGTGCTTGATATTATTTTGAGAATAATGGGTTTAAGATTGTTAGGACACCTTTATTTCAAGTTGATGGGAAATTATAAGTACGCAAATGGTATTTGATGATAGTAGAATCTGGAACTGCAAAAGCTTCCCCTCTTTCCTATATTCAGCTCAGTAAGCCTGATTCTGTTACTGTTGGGAATATTATGTTCACAGCCAAATTCATATTGAGAGTGATACAAGGTATATAGGCTTCTAGCTCATAAAAGATATATAGGCTTCTAGTCTTTTATCAAATACTTTTTTGGTACTTACAGGTTTGGAGAAAAGATGGCTTTTATCCGTCAGAACCTGTTTTTGTTCCAGTACCAGGAGCTAATGAAGAAGATGGTGGGGTTATTCTTTCTGTGGTGATCACACCCAACAAAGTAAATATATTTCCTTCACCAGTCAGAAAGAAAAGTCGTGCTGAATCATTGAGGGTTGTGTTTTAGTGAAGCGATAGTTTATTTTGATTCCATTAGGGCACCTTTTCCATTCTCTTTCTCTCCTTACTATTACATTTACCCTTTTATGTAATCTGTACTTTATTTTTAATGAATCCATACTTTATTATTGTTTTAAAGCTCTACTTGTAGAACTAGTAATAATTTACATAGGAATTTACATATAAATGGCTTTCAATATACTAAACACTTTCTTGTTTAGTCATCAAAACTTTGTGGGGTACCATTTTACACATGTCAAATTTATAACTTAAAAGAAGTTGAAAGAGATTTACATTGGATATCATAGTAGTAAAGCTAATATATAATTTCAATCCTCTGACTTTTATTCTAATATTCATACTACCTTCTGCACTGCCAATTTCAATTGAGTGACCCAAAACTCTAGTGTGGTAAGTAAGTCCTGGCCTAGTGCCTCAATAATGTTGATATCTGACTTCTCATATAGAGCAACGTATGGCAAATAGTGAAGTTCATTTTTTTTAAAGATTTATTTATTTATACATACAAGAACTGGGGTACAGGCAAGATACACAGGAGGGTTAGAGGATTCACCAGAGACAGAGTGGGAATCAGAACAGGCAGACTGACTGAAAAACACTGCTGAAGGGAGCAAAGGGTGAGACAGGAGAGGTCTGCTGCGCCATGTGAGTATCTTCCTGGCTGGCCAGGATTGAACCTGCACTGCAGAGGCTGCGGACAGCTTCACAGCGCTGCACTCAACCACCTGAGCCACCAGGAAGGCCCTGAAATTCATTGTGAATACCAATATTGAAAAATTATTTATGGCTGCCTAAGGTGTAGGATTCTCAGGCTTTTAAGCGAGAAAAGTGCTGTGATCAATTAATGATGTCTGCTATGACCTTAGTTGGACTTAGTCCTCATGCCAGTCTTGACACGTCTATAATTAGACCAGGGCAAATCTCAGTCTGCCTGGCAGTTCTACCTCTTGAACATCTCCAAAGTAACACAAAATGAAGAGTTCTATAATTTGTAAGAGGAAGTATTTATTTCTCTTAGAACTTTGAAAAGCATCAAGTAAAAATATCCTTAAACTCAGAGAAAGCCTGTAAAGCCTTAAACTCAGAGAGATTCTATAAAGGTCATTTATATAAACAACTTTATTTGCTCCGGGTATGAACCTTGTTAGTCATGATTTCCTTTTCAATCCAGGTCAACAATTCAGCAAACCTTTAATAACTGCATAGATAAGACACTATGCTAGGTGCTGGGAGAGTTGTGAAGATGAATAAAGACATGGTCTTCCCCTTAGGAATTTTACAGTGGGGAAGACAAGACAGATTTTGAAAACAATAAAAGAGATAATTTTTCAGTATTGACTTTCTTTTCCTTTCCTTTTCATGCTTCTAGAATGAAAGCAATTTTCTTCTAGTCTTGGATGCCAAGAATTTTGAAGAACTGGGTCGAGCAGAGGTGCCAGTGCAAATGCCATATGGGTTCCATGGCACCTTCATATCCATCTGATGGACAACCACCAGGCCTGGGAACTAGGTTTAAAATGAACATGGTTTGTACAAAACAGAGCAAAAAGAACACCTTACTCTACAAATCGCAGACTTATGTTTTTAAAATTTCTACTAAAAAGAATTTATGATCTAGTTATGGTTTTATATTTTCTTAGGGCTCTTCCTTGAAAATATTAATAAGCAGGTATTGATACAACCTTTGAAGAGAGTTTTTTTTTTTTTAAGATTTATTTATACAAGCACTGGGTACAGTCAGAAGCGCCGGAGGGTGAGAGAATTCACCAGAGCCAGAGCGGGGAGCACAGCAGGCAGAAGGACCGAAGTACACTGCTGAGGGGAGCAGCGGGTGGCAGGAGAGGTCTGCGCGCCATGTGGCCGGGGAGCAGCCGGGGATCGAACCGGCGCTCAGAGGCCGCGGGCAGCCTCGCAACACAGCATTCAACCACTGCGCCACTGGGGAGGCCCTGAAGAGCGTTTTAAATTTACAATTACTGGATGTATCTTCCTCTAGGTAATAAGAATACATGAAGGAAAAACTAAAACTGGATCATTGTCACCGTGAAATATGTGGGTGACAGAGATCTTCAAAGTAGGTGAAGAAATACAAATAATCATAGATAGTAGAAGAAGAATATAGATCTGAAAAAGCACCTGGTTTTGAAAAACATCACAACCTCCTGTTAGCTTTGGCCCCAAGGTACTCACAGAGGACAGGAAGTCAGTTGTGTCACGTTGGAGGCTTCTTCTAAGCTGGTTGTTTCTCTACTGTTCACAGTAGTGGCCACTGCAAATGTACAGCCTTTCTTGCAACCACTCATCACCATCCCCCAGCCTCCCCCAGCTCATCCTGGGGAGTTTATTTTTTTGAGGGACATACTTAAAATTAGCCATTTCTTCTAATCTCTAGGTGTATAGTTCTCTAGGGATTGATGGAAAGTCAGTAGTCCTTCAGCTAGCTGGGCAACAGGTGGCACTAGAGACCATATAATCTTTACATTTCTAAATCCCACCAGTTTTTATCAGAAGCCAAAATCAGCCTCAGGGGTCATGCTTACACTGCCTTCTAGCCAACACCCTGAAAGGCCTACTCTCTTTTCCTTCAGCTATATACCTTCCCTGTGCTGAACTTCCAACTCTGGGCCAGTTAAACTTCCATATTCCTTCTGCATGTTGAATGTTGCTAGGAATGTTCCCCAAAAACATGTAATTTGGGGCAACTGTGAACTCATAATTAGGGTCACTGAATAGTCTGGACTAGGATAGTCAGTTTCTTTTCAGTTTTTGTTAAAAGTTATTATAAGAGTGACAAACCATATCTTCATTAGTGTTCATACATTCAAAAGCTACCTGTGGGAGTTTCATTGTGGCAATAAAGTTAAAGACCTGGGTTGATAAGATACAAAACAACAGCAGCAGAAACAGAATGGCTAGAAGATACCTAAGTAGAACTAATGGGAACTAGTGGCTCAGGTAACCAAAAGAATACAAGTCTTTGAAAACTATTGTACTCCCCCAGACAAGATAAGGAAGTTTGAGCTAGATCTTCTCTAGATCTAAAAGGTGAAGACTGGTGGATGAAGACACGTGGGAAGTAGATCTAATCATGACTTTCCTCTGTAAACCTTTACCCACTCCAAATGGGGGGTAAGGTTTAAACGTCTAAGGGTTAGCAGTATAATCATAAGCTTTTGATCTAAGAATGCCTGAATTTTGCCTTGGTCTTACTATCTGTTAAGGTTCTTAAAGGAGAAAACGGAAGGATCAGTGACATTTTATAATTTAGCAATCCATATGCAGAAAGTTCTGATGGAGTTGAGTAAGCATATAAGTGAGGCTGAAAAGTTAGCACCTCTTCCTTTCTCTAAACCTTATTCTTATCACTGGCTAGGGTCCAGAGACTTAAGGAAAGGGAGTATGTGGTACACAGATGAGGGAAAAGGAATTCGGGGCCAGCCTCATGACCTTAGCTAATTACATCTGCAATAATTCTATTTCCAAATAAAATCATCTTCTGAGGTACTTGGAGTTAGACTTTAGCATATGAATTTGGAAAAGACAGTTTAATCTGTGACAGGATTTCTGAGGGTAAATTTGGTGGGTACTTATACAGAACTAGCTTTAATAAAATTAGAACAAGAACTCTGAAAATATTAAAGCAATTTCTCAGAAACTCATTCTACCTTTTTAAGCTTTTATTTTTAATTCTTTAAACTGTTCAGAATGAATAAGACATTTGGGTAATAATTGACAAAGTATTTAATTTCATATGTAGTCAATGCTTGGGAATTACTGTCTATATTATGAATGATCTTGGATAAATAATTCACTTTTCTAGGCCTGAGTTTTCTTATCAGTACTATGAGGACAGAACTAGATATTACTTGTTTCCAAAATTTCTGATGCTTACAATTCATTGCAGTTCTTTCTTTACAGTCTAATGGGAGGAGATAAGAAAAGTTCTTGAAGATGTGTGAAAGAATGCTTACTGCATAATACATTAGTAATTTAATGCAGAATAAACAATATATAGCTGGAGACAGGAGACATTTGAGAGAAATTACCATCGGGGCTTACATTTCCTCAAGCTTTTATCCTTCCCAGTGCCTGTAACGGTGCCAACCACACAGTAGATACTCAGTAGATATTTAATGGAAGAATGAGGAAACACGAGGTGACTATAGTGGGAACTGTAAGTACTTTGGACACTCCTTTTGAGAGAGAGGAAGCGAGATACTTTCTTTCTGGAGGTGTCTACAGTACAAAGATGTGCTAATGTTTGTGTTCCTGGGTGTAGGTGTTTACACTGTGCCAACAGAGAGCCATAAATGGGTCGATACATGTGTGTGGATAAGGACAGCTTGAGAACTTCCCTCGGTAAAAATCTTTACAAACAGTGCCAAGGTAATGTTTCTGAAAGACACGTGATCCTACATGCACCCTTAAATTCCTGCTTCCTTTCTGTAGACTATGGCCCAGGGACTCAATTCAGAGTAGCTAAGTTCTATTCTAACCAAACCAGGGCTCTCTAGAAGAGAGTGGGAGGGGAGGCTGAAGGACTCAAGTGTGACTTTAATCGTATGACGCGGGCCTGAGCAGACGTAAAAAACGAGGGGCAAAAATGTTCTCCCAGTTGGTGGGGTTTCTCTTTGTTTTTGTTATTGTCTCTTTTGCTGTGCAGAAGCTCTTTAATTTGATGTAGTCCCAGCTGTTTATCTTTGCCTTCACTATCACTGCTTTGGGTGATGTGTCTGTAAAGATATCTTTGATGTGAATATCACGTAGTGTTTCATCTATATTTCCTTCTATGTATTTTATGGTTTCAGGTGTTATGTCTAGTTCTTTAATCCATTTTGAGTTGATTTTTGTGCATGGTGTGAGGTAGTGGTCAAGCTTCATTCTTTTGCATGTAGCGACCCAGTTTTCCCAGCACCATTTATTGAACAAACTTTCTTTGCTCCAATGCATATAGTCTTTGCTCCTTTGTCAAAGATTAGTTGACCATAAATCTGTGGGTTTATTTCTGGATTTTCTATTCGATTGCATTGGTCTGTATGTCTGTTCTTGTTCCAATACCTACTAAACATAGAGCTTCCATATGATCCAGCAATTCCACTTCTAGGTATTTACCCAAAGGACACAGAAACATCAATTCCAAAGAACACCTGCACCCCTATGTTTATAGCAGCACTATTTACAATAGCTAAGCTTTGGAAACAGCCCAATTGCCCAAAAATAGATGACTGGATCAAGAAGATGTGGTCCATATACACCATGGAATATTACTCAGCATTAAAAAAAGATAAACACATGCCATTTGCAGCAACATGGATGGCGCTGGAAGGGATCATGCTCAGCGAAATAAACCAAAAAGAAAAAGGAAAATACCGGATGGTCTCACTCATAGCAGGAATCTAGAAAACTTAAATAAGGGACCAGGAAAATGAATAACTATAAGAAAGTGAAAATCAAAATCAACAAACAACTATGAACCAGAGACACTTTTGGGGGGGTGGGTGGCGGGAGGGGAGGGATTGGGGTCAGAATGAGGGGGTTGCAATTGTATGGGGAATATAAAAATAAAATTTATTATTTAAAAAAAAAACAAAAACGAGGGGCATCGAGTCCCCACTCACCCTAGCACACAGCTCCAGGCGGACCTCTTGCTCCTTAGCGAGGGACGCCCGTTCCTGCCTGCGCCGCCAGGGGGAGCCCAGCTGCCGGTGAAGCGCTCGCGCTGGGGAGGGCGCGGTTCCCACTGCGCAGCCGCGGGGCCCCGCCCTCAGCGCCGCGGCGCCGCGCGGGGTCGTGCTGTGGCGGCTGCGGGCGGCGGAGCGCGGAGGAGGATGAGCTGTGCGGGCGGGCGCCGCCGGGCGCGAGTGTCCCGTGTCGTCTCTTTCAGCGCGACTCACCGGCTGCACAGGTGGGGGCGCCCGCGGGGCGGGGCCGTGGCGGGGAGTCGGTGACGACACAGCCCGCGACTGGCGGGGCCGGTCCGCCCGGTCCTCGTCGCGTCCGAGGCCGCCTGGCGCGGGCCCGCCCGGCGCTCCGCCCGGGGGCCCCGCCACGGTCAGAGTCAGCCGCGTTTAACCAAAAAAAAAAAGGAAGCAAGTATGAGCGTTAAATTAATTTTTTACATAAAAATTGGAAAATATATCCAGTAATGTAGAAACAGTTTGTAAAATACCCCCCCCAAAAACCACCCCAGCCGTTCGCTTTTTCAAGGCCGCTCTGAGAGCACGCAGCTCTGTTGGATTTGTTTTGTTTTCATTTATTTTTTATTTTTACATCGTTGTTCATTTTTAAACAATACTTGCTTCCCCCCCCCCTCAGGTGTAGTCCCCGTAGTTTCCCTCACCAGTGCACCCCTGCACCATCACCTCAGTCCCCTGTGCTCCGCCCTCTCTCCCTCCCTCTCATCCCTCTCCCGCCTCCTCCCCGCAGGATGTCTCTGGTTTATAATTGACTGTTTTTGTTTTGTGTTTTTATTATTTTTCACACTGATGTCTTATTTGGCTCCCCCGTAGCCCTGCTATAAGTGAAACCATCCGATATTTTTCTTTTTCCTTCTGGCTTATTTCACTGAGCATAATTCCTTCTAGTTCCATCCACGCCACTGATTGTACTCCAGTCAACTGATGAGGGACTGATCACAAAGATATACAAAGAACTCACACAACTCAACAGAAACAAAATAAACAATGCAGTCAAGAAATGGGCAGAAGAACTTAGAAGACATTTCTCCAAAAAGGAAATGCAGATGACCGACAGGCATATGAAAAAGTGTTCAACATCCCTTATAATCCAGGAAATGCAAATTAAAACCACATTGAGATACCACCTTACACTAGTGAGAATGGCACATATCAAAAAAACAAGCAACAACAAATGTTGGCGAGGATGTGGTGAAAAAGCACTGTTGGATTTGAATCCAAATGCCTCAGACCGCCTGGGTGACCCAAAGTGCTGGGTTTCAGTTGAGTTTTGCCACTCACAGCAGACTCCACTGTCTGAGCGCCCCTTTCCTTGTCTATAAAACAAGATAATAATGTCTGCCTAACCAAATCCATCTCTCCTTCACTCCTGGACAGGTACTGTTGCATGCTTGTCAGGTCTTGACTGGGTGACAGGGCTGCAGTGACACACCTGTCATTGCCTTCTGTCTGGAGTTTACAGTCTGGTCAGTTTCCTGGAGAGTAGGTGGAGACAATTTGTTGCAAAAGCTTTGTGAACTGTGCCACTCTAAATGCAAAAAGTGCATGAATAAGGGGAAGTGGAGGGGGCAAGAAGTAAACTAAAGACCTTAAAGAAGGATTGTATAATAGGAAGTTCAAACACAGGAGGCCTCATGGAAATTGCACATTGATTAGACAGATTTAGTTATAAAAATCCCTTCAGAAAATTATTCTATGTCTGGAGCAACTGAATATTGTAATGTTTTAAAGTTTTACTCAATTTAAATACCCTTCAGTTAGTTGGTGAAGTTATCCATAGGCAGTAGTTGAGACTTAAAACAGGATTTAATATTAACGGGGATATTTATGAGGTAGTGTAGTTATTTTTCAGGAAAAATGGGATTTTAAGCCACTGAGGGCACGCATCCTCTTTGGTTTATTATTATGTGTCCTGGTTTCACTGAGCCCATGTCTAATATGTAAACTCAATAAATGTTGAGTTGAAGAACGGAAGGACCTCGAGCAGATCCGTTGTTGAAATCTTGGCTGTGTAACAGGGGTGTCAAATTTAAGATTTGTTTATCCTAATTTGTATGATACAGTGGTCTAATTATGGGGCACATACTGGTTCTTGACATAGAGCTGAGTAATAAAATCAAACTGATTTGTCACTCCCTGTTTGGTGAGAGAAAGTAATCAATTGTGAAGCTTTAAAAATGCTGAGCAAATAATAAATGCAGGGAACAGAGAAAGTGTCTGAAGGTGATATTTGTGTTAGGTTGACTTTTTCTTTACTTTCTTTTTTGGGCTAGCAAATCCCTGAGTAATGAAGAAAATTTGAAACTGTTTGGAAAATGCAACAATCCAAATGGCCATGGGCACAATTATAAAGGTGAGAGAAAAGATGAAATTTTAGCTCTTTTAATAAGGAGGAAAATGTTCAGCAGATACAGTGTTAATGAGTAAGGAACCTTATGGATAGAGATGAATGCTTCGAGCTTTGATTGGAAAGTTAAGTGGAAGTCCAGAGTCAAAAGATCTGTTGAATGTGCCTTAAATTTTGCCTTGCAGTTGTCTGTTCTGTTACAGATAGTCCAAAACACTGGACATTTTAAATATTTTTTTTCCTTGGCTTTAGTGTGTGTGTAATGAGATTCTTTTGGCACCATATTTCCTTCTAATTAGGAAAGCAGACATTGTTGAGGCTAATTTTAAAATTAGATTGTATTCTTCCAGTAAATAACTGACAAAAGGGAAATATTGGCTAGAAATAGGCGTAATGGCAGGAAAAAAAAGTTAGGTCTAAAACTTTTGCCAGCAATGTTCCTGGAAAGCAGTTTATGCAAGGACAAGAGATTTGTTTCTTTGAGATACAGCTAATACCTCAAAAAAAGCTGCATAAGCCCTATGGGATGACACTATATGGTGTCATAGAGTAAAAAAAGAAAAGATGTCAGAGGATCAGGATTTCTAGTTTAGATACTGCCTTTTATTTGATTTGTGGTATCGCTCCTTAATTTTCTCACTTGTCACATGTATGTAATGGTGTTTGTAAGGATCTGAAAAAAATGTATAAAAGTTATTAATTTGTGAACACTCTGATCAAGAGGTTTCAAATGTTTCAGACAAGCACTTGTTACAAAGCATTACATTGAGTAAAGGGAAAAGAATTTTATGCCCTGTAGTAGTTTTGCTTGCACAGAGAGGTACTACTCACTTTTGTACCAGCTTGGTTTGATGCTGGACACCTTCCTGTACATTTTCAGTTTTCACAGACAGTGATCAAGCAGCATCTCAATTCCACTAGGTGAGATTCCTACCTAGTGCATCAACATCACAAGCAGAATTTAAATCCTTTTAGGTCTTGGCTAAGCGTCTCCACTTAGCCACAGCCCCTACTAAGCTCATCTTGGTTGAGTCTTACTCTAATTGATAAAAAGAGCTTATCAAAAAGAATATGTATTTTGGGGAAAATAATATAAGCTTTGCCAGACAGAGATATAATACGTAATTTGTGTTGTTACTTGTGTTGCTAACTTGTGCTTGGATGTTAATATGTTGAAAGTCATGCTGGTTTTTTTTTTTTTTTTTTGGTATTTTCTTTTCTTTTCCATAGTTGTGGTGACAGTACATGGAGAGGTACGTGCTGAAAATATCTGTGTGATTTGTGCCAATTGTTTGGCCCCTTTCAGCCATTGTGTTTGAGTCTATGTTGAAAAATTATGCTCAAATCAGTGTTGCTTTATTGTTGGCTTTTGTATATAGTGAGCTGCTTCCATTCTAGCCCTTTGTCCCAAAATGTCATCTTTAATATGCTCTATGTAGACAGATAGAAGAACAATGCAATCAACACTTGGTATTTCCATTCTGAGATCCACAGTTGTCTGAGGGATGAAGGCAAATGTGGGCACAGTTTCTGCACACTGTATAGCCTTTAATAATATGCCAGAGGTTTAAATATGAAGATCATGTGATAGTAATATCTACCTTTATTTGTTCTGTAGATTGATCCTGTCACTGGGATGGTAATGAATTTGACTGACCTCAAAGAGTATATGGAGGTAATGGCATTTTGAGTACTTGTTATGTGTTGTTCTCAAGGTACAGTGTTTGATGGCTTCCTTTTCACTTCCTCAACCAAGTATTTCCAGAGGTTGTGTTGCCTGCTGAGTGGAATTCATGTGAGAGTTGGGGAGTGGTTGGACAAACAACTGTCATATTCTAACAGTGTTTGAGTGACCTGGGAATTAGTCACAGTTACAGGAAGAAATGGATAAATGTGGCATATGCATCTTGTATTCTTGCTGACATATCCTGATTTTCTCTTTTTAATAAATTTTACAATCCTCTTTCAAGACACACCTTTTCCCTCAAAGCTTTCTTTTCTTTCTCTGAACTTTCTTTATACCTTTGATCATAGATTTTAATATTACCTGCTCTTATTTGCTCTAGCCTTTAATTCTAAGGATAACTCAAAAGAAGGTATTCAATAAAGAACTTAATGTGACTGTATCATTATTGAATTATTGCATTGTAAAAGACCTTAGAAATTATGCCAATTTCTTCATTCTATAGATTAAGAATGAGAGATGCTAACAGTAACCCGCATGCTGAGGTCATGTGGTTAGTCCTTTACAAAGCTGAGGGTAGATTTCCTTCTACTCAGCTTAGTTTTTATTATGCCATTACTTCCCCTGTTTATTCACTTCTTCACTTCAGCTCTGTTCCTTACTTTTGTTCTAAAATTTGACATTTGTTTCTAAAAATGCTATAATTAATCATCACTACACCTTCCACATTACTTAATCATATGTTCAGCAAGTTTGCTGACATTGTATCAGTCTTCTAATTAAGGGCAGGGAATACAAAGATAAGACTTAGTCCTTATCCACAGACTGTTCACATTACTTTTCTAGGAGGTGTAGAATAATAAGTGGTCAGTAAGTGTTAGTTGAATAAGAGAATGAGGGAATGAACAAGCAGTATTGTGCTTCAAACTACTTTAGGAATGCAATAAATACATAGTTCTTGCATTTACTGGGGACATAAAATATATTTATGCAAAATGCTGTACAAAACAAGACAGTATGAGAAGTAAGCTGTCCTAAGCAAGCATATTACTTAAATACTAGAGAAGAGGTTCTATTCACTTTTCTCACTTTTATATACTCAAAAGATACCACATACTCCATGAGTAAATGTGGCTCATCATAGCATACAGAGTAAAGTTAGAACCCTATAGAGGAGGCTTCAGTGGAAAAGTTGGGACCTGGTCTGGATTAAAGATAAAACAGATTTATTTTCTTGATATCCATATGGACTAACCCTTCATGTGATCTATTTTAAAGGTTATTTGACTTAGGACTTACTCTTTTTGCATGATTCTGCTTTTGTTAAAAAATAATTGCTATTATTTTTATTAATAGACTCTTCTTGGAACTATAGCCTGTGAACAGTTAGATATAAAATGCTTACATTTTGTATAGCAGCTGAAAGTAAAAACTTAGAAAGAATAAGGCAATTACAATTCTTGCCAATGACAAGGAAAAAGATTGTTAATATATACAAGCATTAAGAAGAAGTTGTCTACATATTTATTCTTCTAAGAGCCCAAGCTCACTCTTCAATAACTTCTCATAGCAGAAATTTAGAACTACTTACGTAATTTCAGTTTTGTCTGTTTTAGAGAATGTAGTCCTTACTGGATCTTTATCCTAATGAAATTGTGGCATTGTGCTGAAGGGGAGACTGTGACGGAGAAGAATTTCTAGTAACTGTTTGGACAGAATTCTAGACATGTTAAACTGAATTCTGAATCACAGTTACTTGTTACCAGAAACTTGCAGTGACTTCAATATTGTTTTTTTTTTTTTACATTTTTGTATTCAGAAATGAGAATAACTAATCATGGAGATCTGGGCCTTCATTTTGCTACTTTAAACTCTATGAGATTGTGTTGTAAGACATAGAGAAGACTTGGAAGTACTGAGTTAGTGGCTGAATGATAAGGTAATGTTTAGAGGGAAAACTTTGGAATTTGAGTCATAAATAGAATCCGTATTGTTTTTGTTTCATCTGTAGAAGGCAATTATGAAGCCTCTTGATCATAAGAATCTGGATCTGGATGTGCCACACTTTGCAGACGTTGTAAGGTGAGTGTGATGATTGTGCTGTATTTTGATAGTAAGAAAGGAGAATTGATTTAACATTTTATCTGCCTGTTCTTTGATTTCTAAAGTTTTAGTTTGATAGCTTTTGAAACTAGAATTTCTGTTATCTGTAAAATTATTAAACAATATTTTGTTTATCATTTGCCTTTTTCTTTCCTTTTTTTCCCCTACAGCACGACAGAAAATGTAGCTGTGTATATCTGGGAAAATCTCCAGAAATTTCTTCCTGTGGGAGTTCTTTATAAAGTTAAAGTATATGAAACTGACAACAATATTGTAGTCTATAAAGGAGAATAGTTCCTAGGGGTTAATATTATGGAAAGACTTAATTTCTTTTCAAATTTGAAAAAGATCTTTATTCCCTTGGACAATTAAGAAGTCTTCCCAAAATTGTCACACATCTACATTGTCTTCTGGAGAGCCTGATTTATTGGAGTAAGCCCTATTTTAAACTCAAATCTGTTTTAAAACCAAATTTATAATGTAATCCTGAGTATCATTTAGAAAGCCTTTTATCTGTAGATTAAAAATCTCTTCATTTTCAGCAGAATGACTTGGTATGGCATTATTTGAAAGCAAAACAAGTCTTTTTTGTTGGTTGTTTCATTGTCATTTTTTAGTATTCATTTTTTTCTTGGTATAATTAAAAAAGCAAACCTGTTTATAATATTTTGCAGTAGATGGATCTTATAAAAAATAAAATGATCGGGCCTCCCCGGTGGCGCAGTGGTTGAGCTTTGGGTTGCCAGGCTGCCAGTGGCCTCTGCAGCGCAGCGCTGGTTCGATCCCCAGCCACCAGAGGAGGGTCCCATGTGGTGCGCAGAACTCTCCTGCCACCCACTGCTCCCCTCAGCAGTGTACTTCGGTCCTTCTGCCTGTTCTGCTCCCTGCTCTGGCTCTGGTGAATTCTCTCACCCTCCCCCGCTTCTTGACTGTACCCAGTGCTTGTATAAATAAATTAATAAATCTTTAAAAAAAAAATAAAATGATCACAAGGTTTGGTAACATAGACAACATGTATTTCTTTATAGACTGAGTGTCTTTGATTACTTCTCAGGTATGCTAAAGGCAAAAGTTTATTTAGTGAAAACTAGACACGCAAATCATCTGAGACACACAGATCACCCATTGTAGATGGATGTACAAGGACCAGTGGAAATGCTGCCTTAGTGCACATTGTTCATGGAAGCTTGGCACAGCTTATTGGACTATATATCGCTAGTGAGGAACAATATGGAATATCAGTAAACTACTTATCATGTATTTGTCTCTGTCTCTAGACCTTATGTCCCCCTGAACAATTTTAATTCAGAAAACTGAAGAATAGTCACATATATTAAAGCCTGTTAAAATAGTCAGCAGAAAAGGGTATATTACCTGGTAAAGCATCTCTAGTACAGTGTTTCCTAATTGATACCCTTTTGTTCTGATCATTAAACTTACCTCCTTATGTTCAACTCTATTCTTGACATTCAACTCAGGTAGCAACTTGTTTACAATGAATTCTCAGAATGGCGCCCCCTGAAAATCGTGGAAGGACTTGCACAGTGATTACTATTCTGGAAAAATTTTAAGGAAGTGTACTTTTATTTTGAAGAGTTAGTCACTACAGGAATTTTATTATAATTTTTGACAGTAATGCTTGTCCACTTAATTCAGTTAAATAAATACAATTTTTATAATGCTTATTCATTTATATATTTTATTGACTACTTGAAAGCAACAGTTATAATTTATTAAGGTGCTTTATGTTTTTTTTTTTAATTTAAATTTTATTTTTATACTCCCCATACAATTGCAACCCCCTTATTTTGACCCCAATCCCTCCTTTCCCTGCCCCCCACCCCCCATAGAGTGTCTCTGGTTCATAGTTGTTTGTTGATTTTGATTTTTACTTTCTTACAGTTGTTCTTTTTCCTGGTCTCTTATTTAAGTTTTCTAGATTCCTGCTATGAGTAAGACCATCTGGTATTTTTCTTTTTCTTTCTGGCTTATTTCGCTGAGCATGATCCCACAAATACCATGCATGCAAAGTGGGTGTTATCCCCATTTTATAGATGAGAAAATTAAAATGAGTGACTTTAAGTTGCTTGCTTACTTCACTTAACCAATAAATTTCAAACCTTCTGTTTGATACTCAGAGTCTGCCTGACTCCCAAGCACAGAATCTTAAAGAAAAAAGGATAGTGTTATATATTTCAAGATGTTTTTAAATGCCAAATTTTATAGCTCTTGATACCATATTAAGAAAACATTACTTCTTACCATAACCTGGACACTCCAAGTATTTTGTTGTTTATGAATTACTGCTAGAGAACATTTTTTTCCTACTTGCGAATTTTCTACGTGAGAATTTTGTATCTATGTGGTGAATGATGAGTGAGTGGATGAATGAATGGTTGGAATGACCAAAGATAGTACATAGGTGGTTTTCTCCTAAGGTCTCTCAGAGACCTTATCAAGCTAGATTTTAATTGTAGCTTTACCTGTTTGCTTCCTTTACTACCCTGAATTCCTGGTGGGTAGAGTATTCTATCCAGACCATCTGGTAAATAATACTCAGTTTTTTTGTTGTATAAATGAATGGCATATTGGTATAAACTATTGAAATTTTATAGTGCCTTATGCATAATAGACACTTGGTAAATATTTTTAGAATGGAGTAACATGAAATTATGAGGCTTGAATTCTAGTCCTCATGCTTTTACTCCTCTTTTTCAATTCAGGTCTCTCTTCATCCATCCTTTTCTTTGCCCATTCTTTACCCACAGTGCTGGGACTAGATGTTTTCTAAGTTGCTTCTGCTTGGCCTCAGATATTATCTCAGTGATTTTAAAAACCAAGTGAGTTAAATATTAAAGAAGGAAGAAGAGTAGTGTGGGTTGGTGAGTTTTGTAAAGTCGTGGTGGAAGAGGTAAGTCCTGAATGTTATTTAAAGTGATGAGATAGGTTTGGGATTTAGGAGAAAAGAGGGAATAAATCCTGAAATGGTAAAAATTCATTAGTGAGGTAACTATGGTGGGAATGTTCAGGTGTATTTGGGATTGAATAGATTAATCCTAATAGGGGGTGATGAAGTGTGAAACTGTAATGGGAAGTTAGCTTGGGGACAGCCTGGAGCATCTTGAATATCAGCTTGGGTTTTACCCTTGCAGGAATAGGAAGCTGTTGAAGCTTTGTTCCTATTTTAAGGAAGATGACCAGCCGGACAAAGGGAAACAAACCAGTTGCAAAGCCATTACAGGGATCTGGACAAGAGGTGATGGTTATTTAGAGCATGGTAATGGTGGTGGCAGTAGAAATAGAGTGACTGGAAGGGTGACAGAGCTAATACAGTGCAGTGCCCACTGTGGTGTCAGTGTTTTGTTAAATACTTTTTATGTCACCTCTTTTTATCCTTACCACCACACTGTAGGCTGATGTGTTAGTTTTCTACTGCTGTAAAACAAATTACCCCAAAACACAGTGGCTTAAAATAGCATGCAATTAGCATCTCACAGTTTATGCATGCTAGAAATAAGACGTGGCTTAGCTGGGACCTCTGGCTTAGCTTTGTCACAGACCTTTGTGGTCACCTTAAAGCTCAGTGAAGAAGGGTCACCTTCCCACCTCATTCATGCTGTTGTTGCCAGCATTCAGTTTCTCACCAGTTATGGACTGAGGCCTCAATTCCTGCCTCCTTTTCTTGCCATGTGGGCCTTTTTACAAAGCCCCTCATAACATGGCAGCTTATTTCATCAGAGTGAGCAAGTGAGAGGGTAAGGAGAGTGGCAGACTGGGGTACAGGGGGTGGGAGCAGGAGAGAGCTAGAACACATACCACCATGAGGAAAGTCACAGCCTCGTAACATAATGAGGTTTTCTCTGTTGTGCCTTTGAAGCAATCACTAGATCCCTCCCATACTCAAAAGGAGGGGATTATATATGTGTTGTGTGTAACCTATGGTGTGGAGAATAGTAGAGGAGATGCGGCTAGAGGGGCAGGCAGGTAGTGCGTAGCATGTCATTTTTGACCCCTGGGCAGGGGGCTGGTGAAGAACATTTCATTTGGCAAGAGTAAATATCAGAGTAGTGGTGGTGGTTCCAATGGGAATGATGGGGTTTGTAGGTAGATAAATATAAAGATCTCTGAATCATGATTTTTGAACTGTAAGCCAACTCTAAGGTGAGAAGTTAAGGGCAATTATATTGACTGGAAACAGAGGGACCAGAGCTTGGCTATCATTTGTGTTGCCTTGGCTGATGTGGCCCCCACCAACAGGGTAAAGAAGGGCCAGAATAACATGAGCAGTTTTGTGCACGTGGCCACTAGTAGACCAGATCTGTAATAAGTGTCTGTTGTGTTTTTTGGTCTCCAGACTTTTACATTCTTTCTGGAAATAGAATTATCTTAAAGATGAGAAACAGGTGGTGCTCATTTTGCTTTTGTTATGTCTGGGATATTTCTAGTCTTCCTTGCACATAGAAAAATCATTGTTAGTTTCACACAATTTAACTTTATAGCAAGAGTCTTTTGCAAGACACTTTTGGAAAGTGGCCCAGATAAACACTGTCTCCACATGGCTGCAGAGAGAACTGCTATCACCACAAAAGAAAAGTTGGGGGAGGGAGTTCTTACACTGGAGGATTTCAAAACAGTGATTATGCTTTCAAGTCACTCATCAGTTTGTTTGCTTCTTTCGAACTCCACCCATCCACTCCCACCAGTCAGTCCTCTATCATATTGAGACAGGTGTAGTAATCATTAAGAGAATACTAGAACTGTTTTGTTTTCTCCCTCCCTCTGTCCCTCCCTCCCTCCTTCTCCCTCACCCCTTTCTCTCTCTTGCCTGTTGTTGACTAAAAAGACAACATCTCTGGCTTGTGTTCTTCAAGATGCCTATGAAACAAGTCCTAAGTACTTAAGGCCAACTTCACCCTCATTCAACCAATTTGTTATTCAAATTTGTTATTTAGTAGGATAATAAGTGCGGGCTAAGTTTTCAACCCTTTCCACTTTTCACAAATAACAAATACAAGCATAGTGACTGGGGACAACATGAAGGAATAGAAGGGCTAGTGTGGTCTTTTTAACATTTGCCCACAGAACCACAGGTGGGTTGTTGTGCATCTCAAATGTAACGCTTCCAAATGTGAATTTCTCATTCCTCCTTCAGAATGTATTCCACTGGCTTTCCTTAAAAATGCTACCACCATCCAATTTTTTTTCATTCAGTTTTTTTAATTGAATGTAATTAAAATCGAAGAAGCCTTTACATTAAAATTTACTTGAATGTAAGGTATCATTTGCATATTTATTGTTGGTATTTTGGAAATACAGGATCCCCCCTCAGGTGTCACCACTGTAATGCACCCACCACCAAGTCACCCATAGTCTACCACCACAGTCTATTGCGCGCCCTTGTCTCTTTGTTCTCACCCTGTCACCTCCTAACCCTCTGGGTGCTTCAGTTCTAGAGTCAGCTTTCAAGGGTTAGTTTTTAAGCTTGTCTTTATCTGACCCTTAGTTCGGTTTCTCTGTATTCCACATATAAATGACACCATTCAATATTTCTTTTTCTTTCTGACTTATCTCACGTAGCATGATCCCTTCCAGCTTCATCCATGTTGCCACAGATGGTATGAGTTTATCTTTTTTGACTGATGAGTGATATTTCATTGTGTGTATATACCACATCTTGATCCATTCATCTGTTTTTGGACACTTAAGTTGTTTCCACATCTTGGCTAGTGGAGATGGTGCTGCAGTAAACATAGGAGTGCAACCATTCAGTTTTTTCAAGTCAGAAATGTGGGAGCTATCTGATTCCTTCCCCCACCCCTAACTCTTATCTCTAATCAGAAAGTTTTGTTGTTTCTACCTCTAACATATTTAATTTTGCTACCTCTATGTTTCTGATGCTACAATCCTAGTCCAAACCATCACTACCTCCTGCCTGGATCACCGACGCTGTCTCTTAATTGGTCTCCACTTACATTTTGGTTCTCTTACACACACACACACACACACACACACACACACACACCCCATTACACCTTGAAACCTTCCTCTTGCTTTTAAAATACATACTCACACTGGCTTGCCAAGCCCTTTAAGATCCAACCACCGCCTCAAGTTGTTCACTGTGGTCAGCTTACATTGGCCTTTTCTGAGGTTCTGGAGCACACCAGTTTCATTCCTGCCTCAAGATTTTTTGTGTTTCCTGCCCTTCTGCTTGGCCTGCTTCTCCTGCACCCCACCACATCTCCTTCATAAGGCCTAATCATTCTTCTGACTCAGTCTTAAAAGAATCCTTTCCTGATCATCTTAATAGAAAGAAATCCTGTTAATTCCCATTACATTTCTCTTTGTTGTAGTTTAAAAGCTATATATATTTTCTTACCTTTTATTTATTTGCTTTTCAATTTATTGTTTGTTCCTGCCACAAGGATGTCACCTCTTGAGGGCCAGAGCTCTGTCTGTCCTACTCGTTTCCCCAGGACCTGGCCCAGTGCCTGTGACACAACAGATGCGAAATAATTAGCCACTGAATGGACAAAAGTGTCCACAGGCTCTAAAGAACTATATGAACCTGGTTTGGTAAACTTTTGAGATTTACTGCCAAAAACTTCTCAAGTGTACTTAAGAA